CCCCCCGAATGGCCGGGTGGTTTTATTTTTCCGAATTAAACCCCCCCCCCGGGCCCCCCCCCAGCGGGGTTTGTGGGGTCCCCCCCAGGGGTAGTATGCTGGGTCCCCCCCACGCGTTTTCTGCGGGGCCCCAATAGGAGTCCGGGGGGGGGGTACCCCCCCCCTCGGACCCCCCCCAGCGTGGTTTGCTGGGTTCACCACACGCGTAGTATGCTTGGTCCACCGCACGCGTTGTCTGCTGGGTCGCAATACGAGTGCCGGGGGCGGGTAAACCCCCCCCCCGGACTCCCCCCCCTCGAGCCAGCGCGTGGTCTGCTAAGTCATAATATGTGTACTTTATTTTTAATAAAGCGAGAATTCATCTCTTCTTTCACCCACGTGCAGAAAAGCAAAACAAAACTCTGGCGTGTATACGGAACATGGTATGGGGTTGCTCAGGCTATTTTGTACCACATGCCGTCGCTCGGGCATTCGATGCGAGAGTAAGCTAGAGCCACTGGTTGATGGCGGTGTCCTCTTGATGGCGGTCTCCTTTTGTCTTGCAACTCGAGTTACACTTGTATGTCTTCACACGACAGCTGTGATGCTCCCTGGGGCTTTAGACGCCTACCCGCATAGTCTACACCTTCAGCATATGATACCTGCGCAGCCTGACCACTACCCATGGGCAAAAGTTAATAATTTTATCATTGTCAATGTCGACAGCTAATCCATCGGAGCATCAAGAGAACACCCAACGCCATCCGCTAAGAACTACAGTGCGCACGTAGCTATTGTACCACGTACACAATACACAAAGCGGTTGGTACAACTACCACCGGATGGGTGGGAGCTAAGCACGACGATGAAACAAAATGGGGTGCGTGTGTAGCCGAGGATGCTGGAACAAAGGGGGTGGGTGGTTGGGTGTTGCCTAGGGCACCTTTGTCCTCTCATCGGTGTTCATACCCAACCACATGGGCTGCGCCAAGCAAGTGTGTGGACAGTTGGACGCACGAGAAAACCCACGTCACACTCCCGAAATCATCTCCACACCCACTGCTCCCGTCCCCGTTGCGAACCCCTTTCGCGCAGAAACCTTTCAGAGAATTTTCCCGGAAAAAACGGAACTTGCTGACCTGGTCTCTTCGCGCCACCTCCGCCTCCGACGCGGCAGCTCAAGCAACCGCGAACAAGACCCACATGCCTACACGGCGTTTGAGCACGACGGTTCCTTCCGACTTGGACGGCACCGACATAGGCGAACTTTTCAACATGGAGCAAGGGGTGTCAGGGCGCGTCCTGCACCCCACTGATCGTGTGGAGGTAGACGTCGACACACTGCCGACCCTGGAGCCGTACCGGCGAGAGGTGGTTGCGCAGCAGCCGATTACGTTTGGTCACAGGCCGTTATCTGCGTCGCGAATGTTCAACCCGTGCACAATGGCAACGTCGTGTGGAACCCCAAGCGATGGCCACCACCCCAGTACCGGAGGTATTCGCGAAAGGAAAAAGGGCGGTGGTGGACAAAAAGGCGGGTCAAGCCGTAAGCGAGGCCGAAATAACAAGCCTCGCCGAACGACCGGTCTCAGTGCACCAATGCTCAAAGCGCTCTTGAAGGGAGACACTCCGACAGGAGAGGGGGGGGCTGCGTTGGTGACAGCATATCAGCAGCAGCAGGAGCCGCTTGAGCCAAATGGAAACATCGTGTCTAGAGACTCGACTCCTAAGCCAAACTACTTGGTGCTTGGCGGGCAAGAGGATTCAACCGACTCTTTCGTAGATAGCGAAAAATTAGACGAAAGCATGTGGCGATCCGTTGACGACCTTGGAAGAGGAGAGGCGCTCGGAGAACTAGAACCGTGGCTGCAGACCTCGAGCCAGGAGGGGCTGGGACATGGCCGGCGTAGGCTAGGTAACACGAAGGAGGGGCTGGAGCTACAGCGAATATTCTCTACTGAGGTGAGATTTCAAACGATTCAAGCGGTGCAGCAGGCGACGTTCCTTGTGCCCCAACACTCCTGGAGTATAGTTGCTGAGGTGTGCTTTTCGGAGAGGGCTCTAGCGACTAGGCTACTATTGGGCTGCAGCTGGTCAGAAAGATGTCCTACACACGAAACAGTTGTCCCAAACGTTTTGTGGCGACCAGAGTGCATGGTCTTCCATGGCACGACGAGCAGGTTTCCGTAGAATATTGTTTTAAGACAACAGTTTCAGCACGCTGGTGAAAATAACTGCCGAGCCACGAAGAAAGCAAGGAGTCGGTGCTCGCAAATACATGCATACTCTCTCCTTGTATGTTTGTTGGGGTGACATGCTTCTTTGCAACACCAAGCGATTTGGGCGCTTGCGGCTGACTGGGGATGATTGCCATTGGAATATGTTAGCATGAATGGTTATATGGCTATATGGCTGCTATCTATCCTGAAACTGCGGCATTTTCCCCTCCTTCCGGCCAATCTTTGTGCCATCTAATACCACGGCAACGAGTATAGCGCCCTCCTTGGGACGGAGCACCGGCACCGTTGCCTGCTCCCCAACATACGAGACGAGCTATCAGCTCGCTATTGATACCGGATCCAGACGAAAGGCTGCGGGACAAGCTCATAAAGTTCAGGAAAGCCGCCGCGGGTGTGCCGGTCACCGCCTCCAGCACGAAGGACGAGGTGCCACGGTAGCAGTACACCAGCTTCGGTGTTGTAAGGGAGGTAGACGCAAAAAATAACGGAATGGCACAAACTGTTCTTGGTCCGACCAGGGATAGCTATTATAGCATCTCCCCACCACCTCATCTGTCGACAAAAGTGTACGGAAGAAAGACTCAACACCAAAATAACACAGTTGGCGTTGTCAGGGTCTCGGTTTTGAGGAAGAGGTAACGCTTGGGAAAACCTAGCCCGAAAATTGGGGTATGCAGCACAGAAAAAAGGAACAGTAAGGCATCCTTTGCTGCAGCAGATGAGAACCCACCCAGCATAGGATCCGAATGATTAAGGCTCCAACGTCAGGGCTGAAGCGCCTCCGTCCAGGCGTTTACAAACGCGTGCGTGCTGCAACAGCCTCAACTATTTTCGCATGACGCATGAGAAAGCGAGGCGATCTCCCCTCGCCCCTCGCCGATTCCACCTCTCTTGCATTCGTTACCGTGCAGAGAGAACAAAAGCTGAGGCCCTTCAACCCAACGCCCACTGGACGGTGGGAGCTGTGCCCCGCCACCCCTCGCGCGGTGATCGCCCGGCAAGAGATCAGAAGACTCTCGGAATTGCGGGAGGAGCGGGATAGCGCCATGGCCAAGAAAGTGCGGCAAGCTGAGTTGGGGTGAGGTTCACAACAACACCGACCGAACCGCCCCCCTCTTCTCTAGCGTATGTTTATGAACCCGCCGACAACTTCGGGACCTTTTGCTTCGCCATGGGGCCCCCTCCTTTATCCTCTGTGGGAAAGCCAGTGCAGACAATATTGGGTTTAGAGTTGGATGAGGTTCAAGTTCTTGACCACCAAGGTGGCGTGTTCAGAAGGTGTGGAAACCCGTTCAATAGTCTGTGGCGGGGAAAACATGTGCACCTCTTGCACATCGAACTGTTGCCTTGCCGGGGATGTTTCGTGCTGTATCGTGGATGACCACAGGGTTTGCATAGGCGTCGCGCTCATACGCGTTTCTTTGGAATGGAGCAGTGCCGCACCGTTTTCGTATCACCTGAGCCGACTCCAAGTGAAGAGCGCGTTCACGCAGAGAAAACGGCCACCATCATTTGACGGCGATGACAGTAACCAGGACCCCGACAAATCACACACCCATCCTCTGTCTGTCTGTCTGTCTGTCTCTCTCTCTCTCTCTCTCTCTCTCTCTCTCTCTCTCTCTCTCTATCTCTCTCTCTCTCTCTCTCTCTCTCTCTCTCTCTCGTTCTCTCTCTCTCTGTCTCTCTCTGTCTCCCTCTCTCTTATCTCTCTCTCCGTCCCTGCCACTTGCTATCGACTGTCCCATATCGGTACGCACGGACCTTGAAGTGTGCTCTTCAAAAAGATCGCCCCGTCGGAGAAACTTTACCGCAAAACGCTTCAAATAGCCCAAGAGAGGTTCCGGCACCAGGGTACTGCAGCGACCTAGCCTTGAGGTTGAAGCACAGAATGGCAGGACTCGATGCTCTTGGTTCGCTGTGTGGACTTGCACTACTCCAGGAGACGGAGGAAAAAGCATGTCTGACGCGGGCTTTTGTTTCTTTCAAAGTGTCTTCACAAGTGGGAACCGTACGACTCTGTTGTTGTGTTGTCTTGCTCTTCTCTTGGGGCTGCTTTGCATTGGGTTGCGTGTGACTTCGAAAATTGTGCATTTTTGCCGTTCAACTTCAGGGAAGACGATGGTCTGGACAGAGATCGTCAATCCAACCAAAACAACCAGGGTAGTTTATTACAACGTGTAGGCCACAACATAATTGATGAGTGTGCCGCTTCCTCCTTCCAAAAATGAACGCGAATATTCATGAGCATGTTTCTGCTTATCGAGGGAGAACACATGACGCGGGTCTTTGTTCTTGTCAACCCAATCCTGAATATACCAACAAGACAAAGGCATACATACGCATTACATACGTAGTTCGCACGAATGGTTATATAGTCGAGTTATGTCTGCGGAGCGCTCCATGTTTTTGGGTAGGCACCACAGTTTGTCACTATAGCAGTAGTTTTCCTGTAGAAGGCCGGTCGCCGTGAATCCTGTAAGGTCGAACCGGGTGACACAGATGGGATATTAACGCGTGTCATACTCTTGAGCTCTTGCCGGGTGTTCGGTTTGAGGCCAACCAAAAATCGATTGGAGTTATCCTTCCTTCTACCGTGGCCACTACGGTAGCGAGTTTTGCCTTTCTCTACCGTAACCTTGGAGCTGCCCGCATTTTTCGCGCGAACGCAACACATAAACTCGCACATCACCACTCCCCACCAAGCGATCATTTGATACAAAAATATTTTGTCACGTTGCCCAAAACCCGAGCACCAAAGCACACGACGAGGCCATCTACAAATAACAAAAAATTATGTCGTGGACTTCGACCCAAAAAGTAAATGTTTCGCCAATACACGCATGCAGCGCACGCAGAGGAACCAGTTGAGCTCTCAACAGGGTCAAACCAACATCGAATGAAGGATAATTTCCACTGTCCTGCCTGGGCTGAGCTCTCGTCCAGATGCACGCCAAACAACGTTTTTCTACAACGTGGTTTCACTTCTTGTGTTCCCACGATACACATCCCCCATCCACCATCCCCTCCCCGGCCAACGCCATCACGGCATCACGGCAGGCAGCGGTGGCTCAACACACACAAGCTCTACAACTGCCACTCGTTGCGTGGCTCTAGTTTGCCGAAGATAGCCTAGAAGATACTGCTACGACACTGCCCCAAGATTGCCTAAAACTCCCCCCCCATGCCCAATCCCCTAATACCAAAGAAGTAAACCTTCCGGCACAACCAAGCCGTGTGAGAGCATACATTAAGCGAGTGAGCCGTCACCGGTGACAGATCCGGACATCAAGCAGCAAATGTTACATGTGCCCCGCTCAACCCACAAACATGGCGGTGGCTGCAAAGGCCCGACCTAAATAGTTTCTGTAAGTTTTGTTTGCTCCTGTGGAAACGGTCTGTGTGACGTCACGCATGCATGCCAGCATTGGCAAGAAACTCACCCTAGGCGTGAAACGATTGCGAAACTTTGAAAGACGTCGACTGCATTATCTCAGACGGGTACTATTTCTTTCATGTCATGTGTATTCTCTAAAACGTACCATTGAACAGACTCCCAACGACCAAAACTGTGCACTACACAGCATACGGCAAAATAACGACGATGACAGCAACAACGATGTGAGCAAAGACCACCAAACGACAACACCGAAATAGCACAACGGTTGGTACATCCACCATGCATCATGCACCCGACAATTCAATATAATACCTCTGCGGCAATTTTCTCGTATTCTGTTTGCACCCCTATACCCCAGGGCGAAAAAAAAACACCACGTACAAAGACTGCAACATCAGTTATTGTTCACGCGGCGCTCAACGCACCACATGCAAAGGCCCCACGAAAGCCTCAAATCTTCAGAGACGCAGCCTCTTGAGTAGAACGCTAAATATCGATGCAGAAGCTACTAGTACAGAACGTGCTTCACAGCCCGCATGAGCACTTCTTTCGAAGCACCTCCCACCACCACCCGGTGGCCTACAGTAGCACCAAGATGATGCCAGCCGACCACCATTACCAGCAAAAACACAATTCACCGCTCGCGTGAACCAGGTTCGCACGGCAACCCTCACAGGACGCGGCGTAAAAAATAGAGCCAATGTAATGCTCAGTTCGACCAATCGTCTGTCAGCATTGGAAGTAAAAATAATCACCAGCGTGAATCGGGCACAACAGCAATTCCAAGGACGCTGCCGCAAACACGGAACCAAAGATGCCATGTGGATTTCGACCAACCAGCAGTCAGCAACAGAACCAAACATGGACGTGTGGATTTCGACCAATCAGCTGTCAGCAGTGGAGGTGCGCCCTGACGAGACGCTTGGAGCACTGACGGAGCTCGCTTGTTTCCTTACAGTCGTGAAAGAACACCTGTATTTGTTTTGTGTAGGAACACAGGAAGACAGGCACGAAAGTCCATGATATTAACACGGTCCGTTTCCGGGCGAGCGTGATACAACACGAAAGCGTAGGACCGGCAACCCGAGAACGAAAGAGAAGACAGGAGCAAAGGTTCGAGGAGCAGAAGAGGAGGGAAAGGGCGGCAAGGAAAGGGGGAAAAGGAGAACAAGTGGGGTACGGAGGTAGCAAGCACTCACGGCCATCGTCCCTCTCGAAAAAAAAAACAAGGGTTGAGTGTAAGCAACGCAAAAGAGACATACCCCCAAAGCGCCTCAGTGTGCAGACAAATTTAGCTCTAACGTGTCACCACGGAAGGCGTCCGATCAGTTGCACCGGTACGGATATCAGAACGTTCTGAGCCGAGGCCGGAACGTTCCGTCAAAGTGTAACAGAACAAAACTGTCCCTGTAACTACTTCAAACAAAACAAAACCACAACTGCTGCCATCAAAGCTTTAGCCCAAATGCTACAAGAAAAATTGCGACAATGGGCTTGATGGCAAAACCTTGCCTGGTCCTTCCTCACGGCCGGCCTCAAGACGAAATTGGAGCCGCACACGCAGTTCCACAATCTTGATGACTCGAAATCATGTATCGTTCCTAGCGCCCGGTCCACCTGCACCAACGTTTCATGTGTGTGTGTGTCTTTAACATTAGCATGACCGCGCTAACCGGCTGACTCAACACAAGACGTGTGACATGTGTGTGTCCGTTTTTCGATGACATCGACTGCGGCACCCGGCTGACAAAACGAAATTACGTCAGTTTTACAGCGGGATGATCATTCTTTCTAGCCTTCGGGCTCTCCCGGCAGGGTGTGCTGTGTGTGTGCTGTTCGTTCATAACTCCGTCCCATCTATCCTGGCCACCGCTTCACACCTCCGGGACCAAAACGTTTCGTAAACTGTTCAGCAACAGCCACCAGTGAAGCGGAACTCCTGCAAAGTTGTAGTAGGTCTTAGATAGTGTACGCATAATAGTATTTCTCAAGACACCTGCACTGGTAATGTGGCACGGCCGGTAGCCGTTCTGTCCCAGGTCGATCGATTCATCGCTCAGTTTACCAGGAACGATAGTTTGGAGTTGCGGTGGCTGTGGACGTTGGGGCGATCGTGATGTGTACCCACACCGAATACCGTCGTCATGGGCACTAGAAGAAATTGATAGGCAGTTTTCGGATGAATTCCAGCAAGATGGGAACGGCGTCAGCTACCTGCCAAAGCACAATGCTTCGTGAGGACGAAACTTGAAGCGTGTGTGACTTTTCGAACAAATTTGAGCACCTCGGGCATTGTTGTACATGTCACAGCGCAGGCGCTTTTGTGAGAACAGCGCTTGAAAGTATGGGCAGCAGGCACAGCACTTGTCGGCGCTACTGTACTCACCCCCAACAGCCAAGAGCCAACGGTGACATCTTCGTTGATGAAGGTATCGTAGTGCTCCCGCCCTCTGTACAAGTGCTCTACTAATGGCTGCGCAAGCACGTAAAACGCTCCCTGAAGAAAACCACATAGAGAGACCGAGAGAGAGGGAGTGAGTGAGGGAGAGAGAGAGGGGTTGATGGGTAAATGTACGTCGGAGAGGCCCGAACGTGCAATCAAAGGCGTTGCAACGATTTATGGCAGCACGGCTCGTCGGGATGATGTATCGAGGTTCTGCGACGACGTCAATGCCGTAAAGACCTTCACTTATGTTGAGCTGCAAAACCACGTTATTGAAAGAAAGTAAAAAAATTGCAATCCCCGCCACCAAAAACTCCCTCGAAATAACACCAGACGTTTCAAGAAAGTTCCCGCTCCACTCAGTGGCGCGAAGATGTATGTCATCGAGTCTGAACTCGGGAGCGTCTGGCAAGCCCAACAGGTTACCCACAACGAAAGCCTGATCGGACAAATAAACCGTAACCCTTGAGCGGTACGTTGGCATCGACTCGCCTGCATGTAGACCGGGTAGCAGTCAAGCCCCGCCAGCGTGTGGTGGACAAACTTCTGGTCGTACCACTTATCCTTGTGGTCCTTTATCACACGCCCAACCTGCCGCACCAATCACCGCAAACGAGGATTCCGTGCACCACGACAACAACGCATGAAAAAACTTGAGTCGCCAACGTTTGTGTGTCGAACGCGAAGACCTATCTGCCGCTCTCGGTATAGAGTGTCGTCGGTGCTGGCCGCAAAGTCGGGGCAACGGTTTCAGAGCGCGCAATGTCACCAGTGCTCTCCCCTGCACGTGGCACTAGCGCTCACGTTTGGAAAGCGTTCGACAGTAGTGTTCCTGGGAAGGAAGGAGTGCTAATGAACATAGCCGGACACTATTACTCTTCCTTCCTTGACTAGTAGGATGCCGTCAACAGAACTCGAGCCTCATTGTTGTACCTTGGTTTGTTCTACTAGTCTTTCATGTGCCCTGAACAGAGCCCGCAACTAGTTGTTGTGCCATTTATTGTGCATCATGTTCTGAACAGAGCTCGAAAATCGTTGTATTGTCGTATTGTTCTTGCCATGCCTTTTACTCACCATCGAGGATAACTGTCTATCTTTACCGACTAGACCATGGGGCGACCAGAAACAGCAGCACACTTGTTCCTACATGCGAATTTTGCAACGCCAAAAATCAACACAAGAGCAACGAAAACAACAACAACAAGAGCAACTCACTTTTACGCTGGGGTTAGCCGGAGAGTTGCACGCTGTTGGAACACCGGCGTAAATCTTGTCCTTAGATTCTTCCGGCTGATTGTGCAGGAAGTTGGCCAGTCTCTCCACACACACGAAGGTGTCGTCGTCTGCCTTCAGCAAGAACTTGAAGTCGATATGTCGCACCTTTCAGTCCGTTCAAGGACAGCCGGAACACGGGTCAACCCAAACAGGCGTGCGAGAGAGGAAAACGGCCAAGAAAAGCTCAGGGGGGGGGGGGTACCGCTAGCGAGAAACCGAGGTACATAAGTGGATTGACGCAAAACAAAATAAATCCTTGGTTCGAGATCCTTGCAGCTAAAGCTTCCATCAGTCTTAAAAATCGCGTTGCTGCCAGGATTGCCGTGGAACAACCTGGGACAAGAATCTTCGGAGTTGGAGGAAACCACACACTCAACGGCTCCCTCTCTCTTGAGGGCAGCAATGTTTCCGTTGAGATAGCGACAAACTTGATAAGTGGATGACGAAGGATACCCATGTTTAACGCTTGGCCAGGCGACCACGGGTCGAAGGGTTGTACGCTTCGCTGAAAGATTCTCATCGATGTCCTACGCGTTGGAGATCGGCGAATTTCAAAGGGACTTCCGACAGAAAGCGCTGCGACTGCTCAACCTAACGTACAGCGAGGACGAGGAATTGCGGCAAAAGCGCTGCCACCCCCGTGGTGTGCGTCTCAAGGATGACAGTGCGTCGGCCTAGAACAAAATCGGCAGTAAGCGCAAAGGGAGATTTCATGCACCGACACCAGCGTGGACAAGATCGTCAGGGCTGTCTCTGCTGCCGAACAGCGAATGATCCGCCCATTCCGCCGTCGATTCATGTTAACCGATACTCATGCTATGAATGGGCCTCTCACCAGTCCCATCATGTGCTTGACCTTGTACACGATGTTGCGGTAACCATCGGGGGCGTTCACATATAGCACGTCCCCCACAAGCTCTCCGTCCGGAGGAGCGGTAGACCTTGTCACCACGAAAATCACCTGAAACTCCATCTCTACGGTTTCCTCGTTTTGTTCCTTGTGTCGGACGTGAAAAAACGAGGAAGCGCAACGGGCCAAAGAAGAGTTGTCTGAGCGGGGTATGGGGATGCTAACGCGTGCGTAACTGCCAACGCAACCACATAAACTGGACGTTGCAGCGCACGGGCCGAAAACAATCGTGAGAACACCTTCGACATGTTGACGTTGGTTGATGTACAAGTTTCCTGCCTGTCTTTAACCTATCATAGCTAGGCCGTCTCGCGGCACCTGCAACGCCGCTTGTTGTCTTGAGAGTTGGCTAGGTATGGCGTTTACGGTTTGCATGGGCTACTCGTGGCTCACAGCATTAAGAAAGCAGGCCCGGTTGCCTCGCGTAGTCTCCCAACGCCGACTTTGATCTCGCTTATTCCGACGCGCACACGAGGAAGAGAGAGACTCGCTGGCACTCTGCTACTGCTGCCTAGTGTAGCGGACCACGATCAGCAGTCCATTTCAGAGCAAGCACACACCTGTGATCGCTCGCCCCCGACGGTGACCCAGCCGCCGTACTTATCGTACAGTTCGCGGATGGTGTCGCGCTTTAATCTCGCCGCCTGTGCGAAAGAGGCACCCAACAAAAACAACACCGGAGCAGCGATCCAGTGCAGCAGAACGGCATGCAAGCGTTTGGACAGTTTACCGCGTGAAACGGTAATCAAACAGCGACTTTATAGCCCCTGAAAATTGGACACACAGAGCCATCTGAATCATGAATCATGAACCCTGCTGACACACACCGCCGTGAAACGGTTTTTGCACTTTCCACTGCTACACATGATCGGAACAATTTACAAGCTACCCATCTAACCCGGGTACCCAACCTCATACAGATGGCGCCCGCACTTAAGAACCTACCTGATAAGAACATGAGGCTCAAAAAATCCAAAACTTATGAACATGAGCGTATTTTAGTGGTCCCCGTTAAGAACCTCACCCTAAAACCTATATAATGGCCATTCGCAGCCTCAACAGCAACTAAGAACCCCAGCCTCACGCAAATTAAGATGTTCTTAAGTGCGGGCGCCATCTGTAGTGCAGCACCGTCAGAGGATCTCGCGTGTTCTATCTAGCCAGCTCAATTTTGGTTGGTTCATTGTACGTACACACGTCCTGGGTCGCCTGTAGAGACAGAGCCAACTACTGCTGCATGTTCCTCTGCGGACGGTCTCGTGGGTATGGTATCATCTTCCCGTCGTGTGTCGAAAAGGGTCTACTCTCGTGAATACAGCAGTACGGTCGGTCTATGGAGCAGTTGAACATGTGGCTACTCGTTATACACACAGACGCGTCTCATCGAGCACAGCCCCACACCCTTCTGGCCTCCTGCAACCCCAGAACACACCGCACCTTGTCATCCCCAGACAGGATGGCCAGCAAGAGGTCCGTCCTCGGCAACAACTGATCGCCCTCGTCGGTCAACGGGCCCACATCCATGCTGTGTATCACAACCTCCTGGTCCTCCCCCCAGTGCTCGAACTGCTCGGGAAAGGCCTCTCTGCCCATGAACCTCGAGTGGTGGCCTAACGGCGTCCACCCTGGTAACAAGGAGCCCTCGTCTACGATCGGGAAGGAGCCTCCTGCTGGGGACAACGTTGGGACCTCCTGCTGCTGATGCTGATCGACCTGGGTTGTCGTATCCGGGCTAGACACTGCTGGGCCGAGGATCCACACGATTAGAGACGCCCAGGCCATCCCAGAAGCGCACGTGAGGAGTGCGCACTTGGTGGTGGTCTTGGCGAGGAGGTCTGCCGCGCTCAGGAACAGCCGCTGCACCGACGGTCTGCTGCTCTTCTGCTGGGAGTCGGAGAGGTGGAGGGATGTGCCGGATGCTGGTCTCCTGGGGCGTCTTCTTGAGCCGGTGGGGGAGTGCGCCGGAGCCTCGCCGCCGTTGGCGAGGCTCTTGAGGGAGGAAAGCCTCGGGGGCATCTGGTGCTTTGGTTTGCTCATGGGTCGTGGTCGTCTGGCTTGGCTGTGCCTGTGAACGTGTGAACCTCCTAGCTCGTCGCCACCTTCGTGCTAAGGTACACAGCACAGAGTTGGTCTAGCTTCGGAGTGCGGAATGCGGAAGAACCGTTGTGTGTGGTGAGAAAGGGTTTCAGTCTAGTTCTCTAGGCGTTATTTTGGACTCAGAGTAACTGTCAGATTATCTTCTGTTCTGGACCGTCGGTGTGTGTAGGGGACCGACTGTGTAGACGACAGGACCGACCGGTTAGGCCAGCAGATACGACTAAGGGGCAGCTGTAGCGTACAGTGATGACCTAGGGCCAGTTCTCAGCAGGAATTACAGCAAATAGTTGCAAGTGTACCACCATAGGTCCAAGTTGGGCCAATCAGAGATTCAAGATGAGATATTACATGGGTGACGTGTGTCGTTGCATAACGGATGACCTTTGAGGTAGGACCGTCCGGAAGCTTGGCTCCGTTAAGGCTCGCACACCAGATCACTCTTGCTTCCTACCCTCAGTTCGCCGTACAGAACTGTGAGCAGAACAAGCTTGAGTCAACAAAGAATCCACAAGAGACGAACTGCTGCGGCAGGGCACACACAAAGCCACGCTTGAACGCAAGTGCAACACACACACGTCCAAGCTAGAACCTGCAGAACTGCAGAACTAAAGAGGCGGTATCAGTTCTCCTCTCAGTTGAAAATGGGAGTTGCAGCGGTTTTCGGGGGATTTTTTCGGGGGGGACGAATGGCTATCCCCCTTGGACGAGAGAGACGACACACAGGCGTTAGAGCGGCCGTGGCGTCTGCCGTTACTCGCGCGAGGTAAAAAATTCCACGCGACAGCTAACCATTTCAACAGTTTCCTAAGAAAAACTGGCGTGGTAGGTGAATGTGACCGTAGCAGACAGATATAGATGATGGAGTCTGAGACCGAGAAAAACAAAAACATGTCCCGTCTCTGCTCATTTTAGCGCTTTGCGCCACAAGTAATGACTGCATGATTTTGGCACGTACATGACTGCCTTCGGGCGGCCCGGAAACGATGGGAAAACTTGGTTCAGCAATGCATACAGAACATGACAAGAAGAGTGAAGAGCTTGTACTGTAGTGTTTGCCTCATCATGGCACTTGGAGCAATTTTGAGAGAAAAGTTCGCGAAATTTACGGCCGGCGGAATGTTCCAGACAAGCTCTGTTCCCTTTCATCGGGGAGGACATCTGTGCGGGCTATGATGCGAGTTACTCTGACGTGATGCAGAATCGAAGAAAGGAAAAAAGAAAAAAGAGAACGCAATGAAACAGCAAAAATAAATATAGTTGGCTCGAACCCCGGACCTCAAGGCACCACCTGCACGCAAGCACGACCATCCATCGCATGATTACCGTTGTCACTCGGTTTTTTCATTACGTGGGACTTAATCATTGTTGCGGTAATCCAGTTCGCCGTAAGGCAAAAGCACGGGGAAACGTCATACCCCGGAGTATTTGTCAGCGAGGTTCCTGCCGGAATCGTTGATTTCTTCGCGGACGCACACACAACAACACATCAGGAAAAAATGTTGTATTTTTTGGTTTGGTATTTTAGGTGCAATACGGGTGGGGGAAACAAAAGAACACAGCTAGCTGTGTTTTACACCTACCTCCTGAATCATCACACATGGCTACAAGCGTCCTCAATAATGAGACGTTTGGTAGAAAACACTTGACAGAGTCACACCAGCAGTGAAGCCAGAGAGCTGCACGCATGCACACGCATGTACTTGCAGTGGTACTGCAAGGTCGGGTGCGAAGAAACGCTCAAGTATTGCCAAGACAAGAGAACTTGGGACACGTCTCTACGACCTACCCCCAACTCCCCGCAAAAAAAAAACTTATTATAACCAAAATGCGGCTGTTTGAAGCCAACGGAAAAGAAAAGACGAGCTTAGTGCAAAAAACAATATCAAAACTGGTGGCGCTACACCTGCGTTGTTTCCGTGCGTAGCCGTAGCCTCCATTCGAATCAACAACCCCGTGTGTATCTACCAAAATAGGGAAAATCAAGAAACTTAAGAAACAAATGAAGCAACAAACCGTGAGGGGTACGCACCCTCTCAGGTCTACCCGCTCGGCAGGATGACTACCAATGCAAAGACAGAGCTACCCCAGGATTGGCTGGATTTGTTCGTGAAAACATGAAAACTTGACCTTTCGAACGCCCGGCAGGCACTCGTCCTTCAGCTGATGCCGCCTACTAGCATGGAAGGCATCAGCTGCTGCTACGGACTCAAGAGTACCGCTGTGCTTCGGCAAGTCTAGCAAATACGTCTACCGGCGTAAATAACGCCGAGCTATCGCAACGTTATCCACGTCTGGATGGAGCCTTTAGCTAAAGAACGACATCAACTCGTGGTTACGATGTTGCCTTCGGGCTTTGAGCAACTCCATGAAAATTGCCAGCGAAAAGGTATGTACTGACGACCAGCAAAGGATTCGCCCGTTCTTCAAAACAACACCAACCGATCGAATCAAAACACAAAGAAATGACGAGAAAATGCCCTGTGATAAATCGGCAACACAAACAGCCGGCGACCTAGGACGAGGTATAAAATAAAAAGCACAAGATCCACGATCCAGACAGCACAAAAACAGACAAAAAAAGAGCCAGTTACTTCCTCCCTCTGCTCATGAAGATCGCAACGACAGAGACCACCGCCACAGCCGCAATTCCTATCGCGGTGGTGCTCGAGTGTGCCCCCAGCGCCCTGCTCATGGCTGCTGCTGCCGACTCTTCCGCATGCTCATCGTCGTGTTCATCCAGCGTGTGCAGCTTAAGGGTGGCAACCAGCACCAGTGCCGGCTTGCTCGACGCCCGCGCCATGTCCACGGCCTCCAGGAGGCTGTCGTCCCTGCTCGCGTCACAAGTTGAAGGCAATCGTTGCGGCATCAGCATCGCTATCAGCATGCCCGCAGAAGTCATGAACACCACTAATAGGCTGGTGCTAGTGCTACAGTATTAGCGAGTTAGGCGAACACCTGCCGACCAAACAATATCACGGTCATTTCGCCCGTGCCTGACAGCATTCGCGACAGAATCGTGGTCCAAGTGTTCAGTTGCGTCTTCTACGCTCCCAACGACCCCCCCCCCCCCCCCAAGCATACTAAAGTACTCGTAATCCCCAAGTGCCACTATGCTTCGTGCGCAGTCCAACGTACACCAAGCCCCACGGAATCCCTCAAAGCACTCCATAGAAATTGTTACGGCAGTCTGCAGTGAACATTGCTCTGGTGTTTGTTGTTTGTATTCTGAACGCTCTGGTTGGCCAGGAATGCAATGGGTAAAAGTGGGATGGAGGCACTAAACGGAACCAAACTCCGCCAGACGCGGCACCAACAAGTCCTGCCTGACCGGAGGTCAGTCTCCCCCCCTCCCTGCCTGACTACCATAATCCACACTGCCCCGCCTCCTTGATAAACCTTCCTTCCTCTCTTGACCCGACCTCCCTACATTCCTCTCTGCATCCCCTCTTCGGCGTCTTACCCGCTGAGCACGATGTCATCCCCGTCATCGTCCTGGTACTTGAGAAGGATGGCATCCTTGGGCATCTTGAGCTTCTCGGAGACGGCCTGCAGGACCCTGTCCAGGCGCTCCGCGGAGGCCTTGAACTTGTACAGGTTCCCCTCGTCGTCATTCACCTTCATCCAATCCACATACACATCGACATGGACACGGACATGGACACCACAATCATCGTCAACTCTAGTGTCGCGAAAAAGAGGTTTGCAGGTCAGAAGAAGGAGCTAACCGCACATCTAATCCTTCTAATCGTAAACCTAACCCTAAGCCTCACCCAATCCCGTATAGCAGGCCGAAAGAAGGGTCTAAACCTAACAACGTGAACAGAAGGGCAAAAAAACGTGAACCGGAACGCTTACCTCGACACCCAAACTCTGGGGTCTGCTGACGAAAGACAACATCGTACCGCCCTCCGCCATCGCCAGCCTCCCCACTACTAAAAAACATCACCACGCGCACGCTAGACCAACCAACTTAGTACGGGGCTTCCTCTCGTCTCACCTTGTACACGAACTTCTCGTCCCAGCCCTCAAGCAAGCCTCCCATGTCCCTCGAGGCGTCCGACATGGCATCCTCCCCGCCGCCCCGAGCGCTGCCCCCCCCCCGCATGCTGCCGGGCCGCTTCCCGCTGGTGGAAGGGGGAGCCCCCCCCATGCCAGGCCCGCGGGGGGTGCCAGGCGCGCGTCGCATGGTGGAGTGCATGGATCTCTTGGAGATGAGGGATGTTTCGGACATGGTGTCGGACATGTCGTCCGCGGCGTCCATCGCTGACCCGAAGAACGCCTCCCACCTGTTGGTTGCGTTTCGTGCAACCGGAAACAACAATGGACCATAATGATGGGTGTCCTGTTCGGTTGTGGAAAACCAGAACAGTATGCATACCATCTGCAACTTCGACGGGCGTGAGCGGTCGACAGCATGAAACCGTCCCCAAGTTCAACGCTCCCAACAACTCATCACTCCACATGCCACCGCATGTGCCGTCACAGAACATACCGCATGACTACGTCCTCCTTCGCCCACACCAAACCGACTCTCGAACGTTTAACAAGGCACACAGCGTAGCAAGTTCTGGCGGATAGCCTAGACTCACCCTGAGCTCCCCTCCTGCCCCACGGTGGCCTGGACGATTTCCATCACGTCAACGACGCCGAGTACAGCACCCGAGCGCTCGTCCACCACAGGCAGGTGCAGGTAACGGTTCTCGCACATCTGCACAAACGCCCGACAAAGTCGATGGTCAAGACCATTTCGTGACCGTACCCGGAAACAACTACCGCCCCCAAAAAATATTCCAACAATCAATGCTGACTTCAAAATAAGAAATACTTCAAGTACGTCCGTCCGTTGTCTGGGGGTGTTACAGAGTCTGAAGCGAGGTTTATCGAGGTCAACGGGCGGGAGAGGCGACCGAGCTTTGGCGACGGCAATCCAAGATGCAAGAGAAGATCAACAGCATGATCAATGTACTAGGTAAGTGACTCAACAACCATCCAGTAGTGTTGATACACACATGCACCATACAACAAGACGATACCATGTTGATCTCATCAACGCAAAGCGACGATCAACAGCATGATTAATGTGCTAAATAAGTGACTCAACAACCATCCAGTGGTGTAATCACACGCATGCACCATACAACACGACGATGCGATGGTGATCTCATCAACGAAAGCAGCGCCGGTGGGGGGCTTGGACCACGCCACGATCATCCATGTCATGAGAAAACAATACAGTGAGGCAGGCGATCAGGGGGCCTGTCCTGTCCGACGCAAGCAAGACGAGGCTGTAAGCCATCCCCGAAGTCATGAGTGACGTATGTACCTGTTGCAAGGCCTCAACGACGGTCATGGACGGGTCTGCCCCATCAGGGTTAGGGGTCATGACCGAAAACACTGCCGTCGTGCCCGGGTTGAGTTTCTGCGTTACGAACAAGCGGAAAGAGGATCGACGAGGGTTAGAAAGTAACAAAGACAGCCAACACATGACGCCAAAAATTGCAGCAGCGAGTACAAGTACAGGAAATCAAAACAAACCAGCAAACACATGGGAGTCAAGATTCCAGCAGCAGCAACAACAGCAGCAAGCGGAGAGAGCAGCCGCAGCAATAGAGCACCTTAGCGACATCAGGGGTAGTTTCGTAGCGCAGGGAAAAAAACAGCAGCGGCAACAACGACAGCCGACGCTTGCGTATGCCCAACGGGTCACAGGCGGCAGCAACCGCAGCGACCACAATAGAGCCGTGCCCAAGACGCATCGATCAGAGGGCAGAGAAACAGCGGTGTTTCACCGAGACGGAACAGGGAGGGCAGCTGAGGCTGGACGTAGCTGACCCCATCCACAGAACAAACCACAACGTAAGCAACATGAAAGATTGTGATAAAACACGTGATAAAACACATGTATTGTACCGATTGATTGGCCGTGTGCGCGGCATTGCTTTGCCGCGCTTTGCCGCGCACACCTGTGTGGTATGAATGGCGTACAGCGCCAAGCAGCCAACGACGAAACAATGTTCAATAACCCTAACCCACCTTGGTGATGACCCTGTTCATCATGTCCTTGGGGGTGAAGATACCCGCCAGCTCCCCTTCCTCCACGACCAGCACGGCCTTCTTTTGCGACGCGATGACCGAAGCAGCCTCCCGCACCGTGTGCCTGGGCCTAACGAACTCGGGCTTGTCCTTGCTGGCGAGCACATCCGCCAAGGTCTGGTTGGTGCCCTCCCTCTCCGTCTCTGACCCCGTCATCGCGAGCATCATCAGCTCCTGCCAAATACAACGGGGGGGGGGGTGAGACGCCGTGTATTATTCTTCCTGCTCCGTTCCGCGAGTTTCCCGGAAAATGCCCGACACCATGGAACATGCCAGGTTTCAGATGGAGTGCACTACTACCACGGTTTTTGGTAGAAATCCGCTTTCGCGTCTGGAACGAACAGGAAGGGGTGAAAAAAGAAGGCCGCCGGAAAACACGCCATTCGTCGGATTGGAAAACCTCGACGGTTTCAGCTACTACTCTCACCTGCAGCGCTTGCTGGTTTTTCGGGGAGGCCTTCCCCTTCATGGCCTTCGCCGCCTCCATCACCGCCCCGATCATGACAGTGCTGCCGCTGCCAACCTCGCCGTCCCCGTCACCCTCCTCCAACGCCTTCTTCTTGGCGGCATGTTCGAGCCGACTAACGGCGTCGTACAGGCACTTGGCGATGTCCAGAAGACCGCCGATCTTTCCTTGTGCGTCCATCACCTGGTGGGGGAAAGGCATGTCGCAAAGGCATTCGGTGGTTAGTGAGACGGAGGGTCAAACGTGGAAAGGTCGTGGGGGCGGGGGCGGGGGCGGCTTGTGATGTACCAACAAGCACGGAGCTTAGACATCGCCAACCATACGATTGCGGGCGCCACCAACTTTGACACGAGTTGCCTTACGCGCCACCTGCATGAGCAGAAAATGGACACACAGATCATTTTGGCCTGGAACGACTTGCCGACTACCCGTCATGACGATCGCTGTTATTGCTGCTACGCCACGATAACACCACGCACGGGTGGACGACAGCAGTGTGGTGGGAACGCTTGCCCTAGAGCCTCCTCACCGCGCTCGTGTTCCCACTCCACCAATACCTGTCAATCGGCAACGGCGACGGCCAGCTAGCCGCCGTGACACCGCTCGACGGTACGAACAAAAAACGGCGTGAACAGGGGCTGGCTACCTCGAATCGCTGAAGGGTGTTGAACCCTCAAGTCTCCCATCGGAAACTCACGTCAAGTACACTCAAAAAGCATGCATGGGATGATAAACGATGGTTGGAAAAGAAATGACGTCACAGCTCACCGGCAGGTGTCTGGTCTTGTTCTGGATCATGAGCCCCAGGGCCTCCATGGCGCTCTCGTCCATCGAGACCATGGCGGGTTCAGCCGTCATGATGTCTCGCACAGGCGTTCGGTCCGGGGGCATGTCCAACGCGATCACGCGCCTGATTCACGAAACGAAACCGCCGAGACGCGCCTTGTGCAACTAACTGATTCTGGGTAGCTTACCTTTTGGCAACCATGCAAGTTCTGGTCGTTCATAGAAAATATACATAAAATCACAGAGATACTACCCGTTTGTAACTAACCTCTATCGCATGTGTTGATGAGTAGGCAAGATGAGGTGCTCGAGAAGGGGTATTAGAATGATTTCCCACGTCGAGACCGCCACAACCCCGCTCACACGGGGTGGACGCAGGCAGAGAGATACATCACGCCAAGCCGTACTAATAGCCTCAACCATGAAAAAGCCCTTGCCTTATCGAGCGGCCCATTGGACTACCCCGCCTCGCATGAACCGCTTCCACATTCCACCTCGAGACAAGGTGGCGATTGAACGTTCAACACTACTTCCGCACGCTTCGACAAAGAAAGGCTATCTACAACTAACTCTGCGGAGCGTGCTTAACAAAAGACATTTTTCACAGCATCTTACCACCCGTACCATCAAGGACAGCACAACTCTTACCTTGTCAAGTCGTGATCTGTGACGATGCCAACGACACGGCCGCGCTTGGTGAGCAGTGCGGCGTCTGTTCTCTTGAGGGACATCTCCGTAGCCACTTCCAGGACAGACCTTGCACACATAAACGCACCAAATACCCCCCACAACCCATATAAACGAGGACGGAATAACGAGGTCACAAAGAGTTGAGGGAGCAATGCGGCGATCAACACTGGCCACGCTACCGTGAGGACTTGTCCAACATGTGGCCGGTCGCCCATGCATCGCGATGTCGTGGGGAGCACTCCGTCCCACCACGCCCTCGCCAGGATGGTTTACTCAACACCATCATATCACTCGACGTGCCAACTCCAGCATTCACGCAAGCACTATTACCATGAATCATACTCTTCGTTGGTAGCATGCTGGCTTCAAATTATTATTAGCTATACTGCTGTAAACGATACTTTGCTTGGCTGCATGCTGGATCAAATCTGTGTACCCATCAAATAGCGCCATTCTCGTCTGTTCTTTCTCCCCGCTTTTTTCCAGTTGCTCTCACCCATCGGAAGACATGATGACTGGTCGTTTCGGCTTCAAGCACGACACCTTCTTGTTGCTTCTCGGGGGTGCGGGCGCCCCCGTCTTGGCACCAGGCTTGGCGGACCTCATGCTCATCTTCTCTTCCGCGCTGAACATGGAGGCCGAGTCGGACACGTCGTCGGCGGCGTCCATCGCGTCCCCGAAAAATGCCTCCCACCTGGAAACCCGCCGCACGCGGCGCGCAAAAGCGAAACGAAACGTAAATGAAACATAACGAAAGAACAAGCGCGGATGGAGATAAGATCCATACGTATGGTGGTTAAGTAAAAAAAACAACCACACAGTACAACAACACAAGAAACGTTGAATCAGCCAACGTGACCCTTCTTGCTGTAGCGCTTGGGTAGACCCGACCACATAGTGCTGAAATACACGTCAGGTGGAAACCATAAATATCACGGACGTTTTCGGTCAAAAGGTCGAGGGGGACTAAACGGAGTGAATGCATAGAAATTAAAAGTACAAGAGAGCCAACGACGCCAGCTGCGAGCCAGCATCAGTCGGCAACGCGAAAACGATACCGAAAACGCTCGACACCCGGAACAGCTGTCACATGAATTAGAGAATGAAAGAGAGATTCTGCCACACACTTGGGCGAGACCCCAGCCCGCAAATCGTCTTCCTGATGGTTGCCAGCGTATGTTAGCCTGTTCACTCGGAACGGACTGGGGCAACGACCTTGCAACGATGGGTAGTGAGAGTTGGACCACATTTTGCGCGTACAGGTATGCAGGTTGTAGCTCGCCTGTCGCTCCCCTTGTCGCCGGCAGTGGCGTGGATGATCTCCATCACGCTCACCACCCCCAGCACGTTACCGCTGTCTTCGTCCACCACCGGTAGGTGCAGGTATTTGTTCTCGTGCATCTGAGGCGAAAAAAAGAAGAACCACGCACATCCTGAGACTGACGCGATATGATTGGTTAACGCGGTCGATGCTATCAAAAGACCACAGCGCATACCACAAAGAATGATTCGAAGCAAGCGCAACGCCGCCATAAATCGCTCGAGTAGGAGCAAAGATGATCCTGGGCGTCTACAATAGTTACCATTGGACGTCCACACATTTTCCACCCGTTGCCCATCTGCACAAGCTCTGTTTAGGATATATCTTGGGACGAGAGTAGCCTAGACCTACGTACATAGTTAAAAGCTGAAAATGGTTCCAATGTGCTGCACTAAGGGTACTGCAATACGGTACAACGCAATGCGCGCTTGAGTGTATTCCAAATGTACTGCACTAAGGGTTTTCCAAGACGACACGATGCGTGCGCTACTGATACCGAAGAACAACGACTGCGAATGCTGTCCAGAGATAATCACAGCCCAAACTCATAACGCTTTCGACAGAGAAGGTCTGGCCACCCGGCTGTCCACATGAGGCACTGTAACACATGGGAAGATGCGTTGAAAGTAACACCAACAACACAGTAGACATCTCAACAGCATATCGGACAAAAGAGCAGAAGAGAAGATGCGTTGAAAGGAACAACAACAATACAGTAGACATCTCAACAGCATATCGGACAAAAGAGCAGAAGAGGCACAAAAGAGATATTTAGCAAGTCTCAAAAAAACGTATGACTCTACGGGGGTGCGCGCCGGACGGAGTGCGCTCATGAGAGGACAGCAGTGGCACCATGACATGAAAAACGAAAGCTCCAAAACCTGACTGCGGGTTGTGACGTTGTCCAAGCTGGAACAGCCCACACAACTAACGCGTTCAAGACTCGAAAAGCTCAGTGAACCACACCGAACCCAAAAAAACGTAACACAATCTGTACGCGTGTATTCCTGGCCTGGGTGGAAAACGCTAGTTCGCGTGTACACAAGAGGGAAGAGAGTGCTGAACTCTTTTCACACTAACAATCGAAGGCAAAACAGCCAGGAGCCCTTCTGTGACCACGGGTGAGCGTTGTTGATTTGAAGTGAAGCGAAAAGTACACAAGAAAATTAACAACGTGACCCGTGCCCAGGTTTGTATCACTGGCGCCCACCTACCTCTCTGAGAGCCTCGATGACCGTCATCGCTGGCGGGACCGCATCTGGGTTAGGGGTCATCACGGCAGACACCGGAGTAGCGTCGGGGTCTAGGCCCTTGGCCACCACCCGCATGAGCAAGTCCTTGGGTGTGACGATGCCCGCAAGTCGGCCGTTGCGCAACACCAGCACCTGGCACGCAGACAATCGCAACCGCATAGAGAGAGGCAAAAAACACCAGAGCAGCAGCAGAAGGGTTCCATGGATGAGCGCAAGCGAATGGCGAGGTTTAACAACCAAAAAGAGTAATCGCTTGCCTACAGTCGGAAAAAATATCCCTAAAAGGCAGAAGTTAGACACGAGTCCATGCTGAGGACATTGGCAACACCAGCCGCGACCGTCACTGCACAATGGTGAAAGCGGAGGCTATTCTTCTGCGCGCATCCACGCGATCAACCTTGAAGCCGGTACAGCAGTAGAGCACAAGTCGAGCCTACCCCACAACATGCCATGAACACCGACCCCACATCCCAAACTTCGGTGAAGTCTTCTCCTCGCGACTACGCCACCACCGACCCCGTTAAATGGCTACTCCGTCACGCCACTGGCAAAAAGTAAACGAGAGAACCATCTGATTGATACTTCTACCCAAGAGGCTCGCCCAGCGGAAACCAAGGAATACCCGCCTCCCCCGGACCAAGATTCACGCCTAGGATCAGTAGGCTACGCAGTTTGCTTGCAGCAGTTCAGTGTATGGAATTTAGTGTGAATATAGTAAAACCCACATAGTCTTCATCGTATAGGCCTTCGTGACGTATTCAAAACGCAAATAATACCAGGGTGAATAGGTTCAAGAATGGCCATACATATTATCTCTCACAGGGTGTAGTGTGGCACATTCTAGAACCCAAATAATACCTGGGTGTATAGGTTTGGGTATAGCCATACTGTATCCTAAAGGTTTACGGATGACCATTCTAAATTCTACACAACATCGCATGTAAATAGACGTACGTTTTAGGTGTTGTTGTCTTCACATTAAAAAGAAAACGTTCCGTTCTCTCTGCCCAGTACCTTATTCTGTCCGTACTAGTCTAACACAGGCTAACTTGCCCAAAAAAGTATACGAAAATAAAATGGACCCGAAGGGTCCGCAAGCCAATAGAAGTCAACGACAGATAGTCTAGGCCATTCCGCTCGTCTCTACACGCCATGCGGGGTAATCCTAGATAGACTGGAAAAAGAAGGAAAAAAAAAGAAAAAAAAAGAAGAGAGCAGATAGATGGAGAGAAGGGGAAGAGAAAAGGAGAAAGACACACAGACACAGACAGAGAAAGACACACGCCGTAGCGACAAACCACAGACAACCAAACAGAACACTAAACAACACAACACAAAGGAGTAAAAACAATACAAAGGAGTACACCACATTAATTCCATAGAACTAAGCGCGTATAGGTGTTAGTATTCCACGCTCAATCCCATCAGCGTATGAATAGGTGTAAGTACAAGTATGTAATACTAAATCCTATACAAATATACCCCTCTCCCCCCCTTCACGACCAAGATTTCGGCGTAGCCTGGGGGTGTTCCTTGGTCTTCACTGGGAAGGCCCGTTGCTTCTACCTTCGACCCACAGCCTGCTCAAAAATGCTACAACCACCTACAATAGTCACCCACGCCATCCAGGGTGATAAAGGAACGACATCTTCGTCCTCGCTCTTCATACGATCTCTTAGGCCACAAAGAATAGCGGGGTACACTCACCGCCTTCTTGCTCCTGGAGATGGCCTTCCCGCAGGCAGCCACGCTGTCCCCCTCCTCTGCAAACTCTCCCGTTTGCTCCGACAGGATGTCTTCCAGCGTGGGGTCCTGATCCAACAAGACGAGCAAAAACACCATCCAACGAGACAAGGTATGTCACCACACACGCTGCTGACGCGCGATGCCATGCCATGTCATGTCGGTCCGTGCATCACATGCTAGCAAGAAGGACCCATCAAACAGAGGCAGGAAAATCGTCTGCTGGTCCATCTCTGTTCACGCAGATATGACAGTGCTGGACCATCTCGTGTGAGTTGGGACCAAATCAACACATCGTGGAACACGATCGCAAGTCACGACCAGACGAGCCATGCTCTCGACACTAAGCGCGTTGGTTGTCGTAATCTCGTCCTAGGTCCAATTCCTACACACGTTCCACCAACTAAATGATGTTAGGAACATAATACTGTATTATCACAGGAATGCATTGGTACCGAATAACGACGCCCAATCAAGGTCGGTCGCCCCGTAGAAGGACGTTGAAATCGCGTGACACAGCAGATGGAATACTCAACACGCCTCATACTCTGAATAGCGCCGGGTGTACCGTTAAGGGTGGCTCAATCCCTCCGCACTAGACGGCCTTACACAGGGAGCAGTGTTGCCCTCCACTCGCCTCTTCTCCGTCAGATAGCCCCTGCAGCAGCATTGTCATTGCCGCCAGAGTGTTCTTGCCATTCTTCTTGCCTGCCTTCATGCTGTGCATCTGTCGGGTTAACGCCAAGCACAGTCGAAAAAACAACCCAAACCGGAAACAGCTGGAATAACCATGGTAATCACCATCATGGTCGTCGACGGAATCCTACAAACAAAAGCCAGACACATCTGACACAACCATGGTTAAAGCCATGGCAATCAAAACGACGGGATCTTACACACAAAACCCGAATACATCTGATGTAACCATGGAAATAACCATGGAAATAACCATTCATCACATTCGTCATCGACAGCATCCTCACCCCGCACACATGCTAGCGCCAACAGAAACTACATCACCACATGAGAAACACAGCGGTGGAGTCATGACGTACGAGCCACAAGCGGGAAAAAAACACCCTATTCTCATACATTTCTCATACATACACTCGCCGACACAGCTGCCATCAGAGCAAGTCTACTCGTCACGCCCAATACCACCGCTGATGGTCCTCAATCGTTCAGGAAAATATATATCGAAATGATACCACATGACACCACTGCCACAAGAAGCGCATCGGCAAAACGCATCGATGCTCCTAGTCGCTCCTTTCGTGAGGTGTTGAAGGCAAGTAATGACACGCTGATGGTTTTCTTCGGCGCGGAATGGTCCTGGGAGGGTAACTGATACTCTCACTCTGGAATGGGAAAGCTTACTTTCGTGTGTAGCTCGTGACTGTATAGCGCCGAATAACGTGCATTGTGCCATTCATCGGGAAGGAAACAGGGGGAGCAACATAGAAGGGCCAGAGCCGTTGTGGCTTTGCACCAACAGCAACACGCGCACAACTGACGAACTCCACCATACCGTCTTTGTCTCGTCTTGGGGCGTAACGTCAACAAACCTTGATCAGCGAGGCGGCGAGTTCCTGCTTCTCCCCCGACAAGCCTCCTCCCCCTTCCTCCTCGGCCCTGAGGGCCCTCTTCTCCAGCCTGCGGATGGCGTCGTAGAGGCACTTGGCGATGTTGAGCATGCCGGACACAGCACCCTCCTCGCTGACCACCTGCGATGCAAGTACAATTATAAAGTAAGAACAATTAGTTCACACGCTAGTCACAAAGAATCGAAACAGATGTTCTTGCAGCAAAGCCTAGACACAATGGCGGGAGAGGAATCGAAGATGAGTGACCAAACGTGGCGGGTACGAGGAGCCACACAAACAACCGTCGGTCGAGCGACGATAAACATGCAGCACAACCCAGCCTCCGTCATGTCTAACCAGTGCGACAGGAGTTTATGCAACGATTGGACTCATCAGCATTGACACATATGTATGCAAATGTGAAGACTCGCGTAGCCTCTCCAAACGAATCTCCTCTTGGGCCACCTTTCAACGTGCGTGCCATTCAATGCGCGGTAGCATCAAGGAATGATTTCAACCAATGTTTCCTGTCTGGTGCAACATGCACCGCCCTACTCACAGACGCTGCCATACCCACAACGCGGCACGCTCCTCCTCCAGAGTCAACGGGAAAAGAGATATCGCAACGGCACTCGCGCTGACAGCGACAGTCCCACGAAATGAACATACTTGGGGAGGGGGTCGCGACTGAACATATAGTACATATGGGGGGGGGGGGGGGGTTGTGACTTACCGGCAGGTGTCTGGAGTGAGTCTCGAGCATCGTCTCCAAGGCGTCCATGGCGTTGTCCGTAGTGGTCACCCAGATGGGGTCGGGCGTCATGACCGAAGACACCGGGGTGCGGCTAGGGTCCAGCGACCGGCCAACTACTTTCCTGCTCAGGGGGACCGGGAGTCGAAACCTCAGAACGAATAGGTAGCAAAACATGAATCACGTCACGATGCTCTCCGTTTGCAGGTATCAATGCGGTGCAAGAGCGTCACATCAAGGTGCTGATGCCATTGCCGGGATCTATGCATACGGACCATAAAAAATCAAAAAGATCACGCGCCAAGGTGATACAAAAGTAATTTTGTCGGAAGGACCCACCGCCAACTCTCCTTTACGGTGCGGTGCGTTAGCAACAACTCCTCGGCCGCAATCGATCCTTGCTATCCTACGTCACCCGTACACTAGTCAATATCGGCCTGAAGCCGCATGCATGCAAGGACGCCTACAGTAATCCAAACAAAGAAGGTCTCGATACATCTAGCACACAGCCAAAGCCATGCTTCGGCGGACGCCCGTCTTCCTTCACGGGTCTGACTGAGAGGCAGACTGAGAGGCAGACTGAGAGGCATCACTGTTCTCCATTTTCCTTTCTTCCCCACAAAATATCTCCTCGTCGGGAAGTAGATACAACTCCCATCCCGACTATGCGGACGCACATTAACCAACCGCTGTCCTTGCCACTAAACCGTACCCCCCATCCGTTCTCCAACGGCTCTTTCAAACCAAAGGGTCCCTATTTCTGTAGATAAATACATACATAGATACCTGGCGATGTCGTGGTCGGTGAGCACGCCCTTCATGTCCCCCATTTGCCCGAGAAGGATGGCTGCGTCTGTTCGGATCTCTGCCATCCTCTTGGCCACCTGGGCGACGGTGAGGTCGACTGAGAGGCACAGAGGGGGCTGCGTCCGCAGAGAGAGAGAGAGAGAGAGAGAGAGAGAGAGAGAGAGAGAGAGAGAGAGAGATAGAGAGGCAGAACTAGTGAGGCAGCAAGCGAGTGAGGCAGAACGAGTGAGGTAGAACGAGTGAGGCAGCACTAGTGAGGCAGCAAGCGAGGGATTGTAGTTGACGGTTACAAGAAAGCAACAGGTCGAAGCGACGACGGATCAAACGTCCGTAGCAGAGGGAGCGGGAGGGTGCCCAAGCAATCGGGGAGAAACACTACACGTAGACCAGTCGACGATACCCCTAGGCTCGTGGTGTACCGATACACGTTGTGTGCAGGGTAGGTTTTCCAGTGGAGCACTGCCATTATCGTAGTACGTCACCCACCCTGTCTTCGTCGTTGTCGGGTGTACCCTTCTGTATCTTGCGTGCACACTGTCACGTCGCGTGTACCCACTAGCCATTATTGCATCATTGCAGGTACAAACAACCAGGCTGGCGTAAGCGAGCCAACTCCATCGGAGACAAGCGAAAAGCTCAAGTTCAACCTTGGTCACTCTCTCCTTGACCGGACAAACGCAACAGCTTCCGAGACGACCCCCTTCCACATCCCGCGCAACACCCGACAGCACAACAATGAACGCCAACGGTAGCGGCCACCCCAACGACCATCAAATACAACAAGTCAACACGGCTGCCTCACACCTTAGGCTTGAGGCTCGACACAGGCCGGTGGTGGTCTTCGTGCTTGACAGACTCTGCCGCAGCCACCGACCCCGCCGCTGCTGCCCTCGGAAGTCCAGGACCTCCTCTCTGCCTGGCGGACATGACGCTCCTGTCCATGCTGTACATGGAGGCTGAGTCGGACACGTCATCGCCGGCGTCCATGGCAGACCCGAACAAGGCCTCCCAGCTGAGCGGAACAAACACACGGCCGTTTCGAGACAGACAAACGAAGGAATTTCAACACAGGCAGAGGCGTGCCGCGACAGAATGCAACAACTGCTAACCGGTGTTATTTTACCGCGTTTCCGGCTTTGAGTTCTCGCGGTTCGTCTGGCTCATAACACTTGGTGTTAGTTTATTGGCCAGTACAGGCCGGACACCACCGTTGCCGCCTTCATCTCCAGCGTGCCTGCCTCGCGCACGCGGCTTTCGTGCACAAGAACGGCACACCCGGAGGTCTGCGATGGGTTTCCGGCTAACGCGAGACGCCCACAACCAACCAAACGTACCTCGAACTGCCCTTGTCCCCAGCGGTGGCCCGCAGAATCTCCATCACGTTCACCACCCCCACCACGGTACCCACATCGAGGTCGACCACCGGTAGGTGCAGGTATTTGTTCTCGTGCATCTGACCAGAACAAAAAAAGGAAGACAGGCACATCACGGCGCGCCGCGCGAGCGTCTTGAATTAAAAAAAAAAGTTTCAGTTTCACAACCCCCGGCCGGAACATCAAACGGCGCCACAAGCACGAAGCGCATCCAAGTACATGACGCCGGCAACCCACTCCTACCTTTCGAGCAGTACAAGCATAACAAAACACCAGTGCCTACATATCTCTCGCGCCCTTTCGAGGGTATTTTTTTTCACCCAAAACGTGGCGCTGACTTCTCTCGCGCACTTGTGACAACTAAACACACAAACCGGAAACATGAAACTGGCTCAAGTTACCGCGAAAAACTATGCATGCAAATATACACAATAAAACACTGCCATCCTCTCAAAGAATCACATGCCATCCTCTGAACGCAAATAAATGCTTACCATTACTTGTATCTCAACGCACAAACCACACTTGCCGTACCTCTCTCGAACAAAAAGCACTTGCTTTTCCACACATACCTCTCCGAGAGCCTCGACGGCCGTCATCTCCGGGGGCACCGTGTCTGGGTTCGGGGTCATGATGGAGGACACAGGGGTACGGTCTGGGTCGAGCTCCTTGGCCACAACCCTCATCAGCACGTCCTTCGGGGTCAATATTCCCGCGAGTCGCCCCTGGTCGAGAACCAGCACCTGTCAAAAAGAGGAAATTAATTGCCGTGGCAATATATAGTGGCAATTTACACAGCCGTTAACAACCAGCAGCAAGCAGAGGCAGCTTGGTTGGCGATGGCAGAAACCAAAATCAAGACACGACCAGAGATAAGAGGGCGACAAAAAACTGAGAGCAACGGGCAAACATTCGGTGCACTAGAAGTGGACCATCCCACCCTATCGCCGAGGAACCTGCGATATTTTCCATACCGGACATGACGGCGGCTTGCAGGTTACATCAACATCTTCAATGCCACGAGACGGTATCACACGTTTGCCTACATTCCCTCTAGCTGCGGGCCGGTCAACGTTTTCGAGCACCAAGCCAACAGATAGATACCCCGAGATATACCCCGGGCAAGAAAATCCTAGCAAGGGACCGGTGGAGACTTTCGCGTCTGTTGTGTTCCAGCGAATGTGACGTTTTCTCTCCGAAATCCGAAACGTCGCGTGTCTCACCGCCTTTCTGCCCTTGGCGATGGCGGCAGCGGCAGCCGTGATTGAGTCTCGCCCGTCCACGAAAGATGTCGTTTGCTCCGACAGTATTTCTCTGAGGGAATGGTTCTGCTCAGTAGGAAAAAACCGCAACGAGAGAGAGCAGTGACAGATAGCGAGCAGTATCGTCAGGGTAGATACATCAATCGCGTGGCCCCGAAATGAAGGAAGGACCCGAAACAAGGCGATCAGCATTTCTCGGCAGCGGTAGTTGTCGATAATACTACTGCAATCTCTGCACCTCAACGACCAATTTCCAATCAGTTAGCGGGAACTCAATAATGCGACACACCACCCTATTGGCTAACCCTAACCCTGTACCCTACATTATCCATCAGAAAAAACTTCTTCCAGCGGGCTCGAAATGAGCATCGCTGGAACACCCACGCGAGGCGTGTAATTTTCTAAACCCGGCGGCAAGGTATCCATCTAGAAGGCGAGAGACAAAAACAACCCACCGCTTCGGCCTCGTCTGAGGAGTTGGCCAGCAGCATCGCCAGGGCGGCCTGGAGGTCCCTCGTCTTGTTCTTGCCCTTGCCCTTCCCGGCGTTGGCCATCTGAGTCGCAACACAATGGCGCAACGGGTTTCCACGGTGTGAGAGCTTACGCACACCATCAATGGAGTTGGCCATCTGAGCCGAACTTACACCGTTGAACCCCATCAACCACGACGACAACTAGCCCAACCTTCGGGGGGGGGGGGGGGCGCGCAGGTGCCCGGCTTTCTATCACACGTGCCTTGCTGAGCATTCATTTTCTTATATCCGTGTTCAAGCAGAACTTGGAAAGCGGTTACTTGGTGGCATACACAAAGGCCGACTTGACGGTCAACGAAGGAGAGGATTAGCTGAACTCTCGTCAGGCCAAATTTGAAGGCAAGAGGCACCGCAGACAGAAGAAAAAAAAACGCGTCGCCTTCCGCGGTTAACCCCCCGGCTGACGAGCCCCAAGACACACCGAAACATCATAAAAAACGCCATCACAATAAATGGAATTGACAGACGCATAAAGTTCTTTGTGAGGCCAGCCGCCAGAGTTGGGGGGACGCAGTTGGCAATGCTTCCGTGTCGGAATATGAACAAATCATCACCAGTGGCATCCGTCCCATCTACTCTGGCCCCGGTCTACACGCGTTCGGTAAGTGTGCACGATGTACGCTATCCTTAAAACGTACAAATTGATCGGCAAAGCGCAAGAAAAAAGCCTTGCGCTAGATAGAGTGACGACGGGAAAAACGCCTGCTCTGCTAACCTGGAGAACCGACGCGGCTAGGTTGGCGTTGCCGCCGCCACCGCCACCGCCGCTGTTCTCGGCCCTTGCAGCCTTCTTCTTGAGCCTTTGGATGGCGTCGTACAGGCACTTGGCGATGCTGAGAAGACCAGTCACGTTTCCCTCGCCATCGATCACCTGGCGACCATATCGAATCACATACGTCCACAATACAAGTGATGGTCCCTCCGGAGTGGGCTGGCTCATGAGAGCACTAAAGGGGTGATGAAAGATGGTACTGAAAGCATTGAGCAGGACCAACTCACATCTAGCTTCCGGCCGCGGTGTGATGTTCCGGGTTTTTGACTCGAAGAGCCCAGCGAACGTCAACGAACCACACCGAACATTTTACAACTCTGTGTACAGTCTTACATCCTCGTCTTCAACGCCATGTTTTGGTTGACAAAGGCGCCAAATAACAACCTGGGAATCATCAACTTCAGGCTAAAGAAAATCGAAACCAAAGATCTTCACCACAGAACAGGTGTTCAGTTTGAACAATACTATACTAACACCTACATATATCGTCGCTGTTGGGTAACACATGCCACGAGAGAATGAGCCTCGGCAAAAAAAGAGGTTTTGAAGCGGTGGCACCGCCTGTAGATATACGTTTCAAAAATGTATATCTTCCTCAACCTCACCGGCAGATGTCTGAATCGCTTCTCGATCATGATGCCCAGGCATTCCATGGCGCTGTCCGCCATGTGGACGATGGTCGGGTGGGGCGTCATCACCTCGCTCACCGTTGTCGAAGACGGGTCCAGTCTGTTCGCTACCACCCGCCTGATTCATCAATTACGGCGACGACAGCAACAACCACCTCAGACCACGAACAGCAAAACTATAACCATACACACGAACGACGCCGCTGGCGACGCAAGACATGGAGTGGTACAATGAAGAAGCATTAAAGCTGGTTTCGTTTACGCCCTGCTACGATGCACGCCTGTGGAAAACAGAAATTTCGGACATTAAATGCGGCGCTTGGTGACACTGCTGTAGCGCAATAGACACAACCCGCTCAACGGCACCAAGACCGTCCGACCCCCCCAACACTACGAAACCCTGTGCACCTCGCAACGTCTTGATCGCTGATGATGCCCTCCAGATGGCCCTTGTTGTCCAGGAGTATCGCAGCATCGGTGCGGACGTCAGCCATCTTCTTGGCCACCTCCAACACGCTTACGGTGCTCGGCAGGCACAGCGGTGGCTTCACGAGCAAAGCGATCAAGATTTGGAGGGGGAACAAAACAGGGTGGGATTTGCGGCTTTTCCGTCGGCACGCTGTTGACGAACTTTGACCGCCCTCTTGATTGTGTTTGGAGGAAGGCACTTTCGCGAGACGATTCCAAGTGGTACCGCAAACACGGGCAATACTTTGCAAAAGCCCTACAGCGATAAATCGAGTGTGCGCGTATTTGATGCCAAAACAACAAGAACAGCAACAACAGCAACAACAATACAGTAGCGGCTACGGTTTAAGAGAGGGTCGGTACAAGCCAATTTCACTCTCTTAAATCCGGCTTTCTGTTATATCGTGTTGGCTACCATATAAGAGAGAATTTTCTTAAACAGAATCTCACTTTAAGAGAATTCTCTCTTATATCGTAGACAAAACTGAAGGTCGTGAAACAGGGGCTCTCGCGCACTGACTACACTCGAATGCCAAAATAGGTCATAAAGAGAGCATATCATGCATGTCACTTGCGCAGCTAGCGTTACGTCGGGCTACCTCCAAACACCGCTCATTCTCTTGGTTGGCAAGCACGTGGACCCAAGCACTGCTGTACGTTGTACGCTTTTGGTGGATCTGCGTTCGGAAAAATAAATCATCGTCGTGTGATGCGATGCACATTTTTGCACGTGGACACGTAAAAGGTTTTGGTTGAGTTGTTTTATAGCTGGGTTTCATAGTTGCACCTCTTCTAGAAGGACAACACGAGGCGACGAATGCACCAGCACTCAAGAACGACGCACCCGTTTACACACTGCACCTTCCTCCCACCGTACCCTCAACATATGTAACACCCTCATACCTCTCATCCCATCGATTTGAACCCCCGACAAAAACACGAGTCAACGAACAAAAAACAGCTTCACAATATCAAAACATCACTCGCCGTACAAATAACACAAACCCAAGAAACCAACGCTACCCTGGCGACCTGTCAGCCTGAACACGATCTGCGCTGCAACCGTCAAAGGAAGTCGCTCATGCATGTCTGCTTGGTTTCCCTCGAACCGTAGGCACTCATCCACGCTAGCTTAGCCTTGCGGAGGTGAAAAGACACTTCGGACATGCGGCACTTCTCGGCAGTATCCTCAAGTTCACCAAAATGATTTGCTACATTCGCGTACGGCGGCGGAGCCGGGGCCGCTGCCGCCACCGACTGTCCCGATTGGCGTAGCTCAACCAGGTCGTCGTCCTCGTCGTCAGAGGAAAGATCCATGCCCACCAAATTCTCATCACAGAGGTCCTCTACCATCTCTGTAACGATCGCTTCGGCTACCTCCACGTTGTCCTCTACAGCCTGAAGTCATGCGCTCACGGGAGGAAAGGCAGTTGTGGCAGATGCGATGCATCTCGGAGGTGCTCTGAGGGTCCACCACACCACAGGTGCCATGGAGGTACTGCCTGCAGACTCCTCTACATTGGTGGTTTGTGAACGCCGGCGGGCCTGGCGTGTGATCGGGGACAGCCGTGCAGCGACTGCCCGCCACGCAGGGCATGGTGTCTGCAGCTGTGTGGGTGTGTGTGTCCACGTGGTTTCCACATTGTTCGATTTAAGAGAAAAATCCCAGCTGCAAAAGGAAATTTCTCTTAAATCGATTGTTATTGGTACACGCCAATTCCTCTCTCTTAAATCCGTACTTTCTCTTAAATAAGTTCTCTTAAACCGTAGCCGCTACTGTAACAACCTTCAACAACATATCACGGAAACAATTAAGATAATATTGCACACCACGTGCTCTTCTACCTTAGGCTTCAGCATGATATGAAGACAAACAACAGCAGCAACGACAACAATCCACAAAACACCGTGGCAAAACACACCACGCGTTCTTCTCCTACCTTAGGCTTGAGCAAAAACACCAAGAAAAACAACAACAGCAACAACATGCCACAAAAAAACCCCGACCAAAACACACCACGCGCTCTTCTCCTACCTTAGGCTTGAGCATCGACACCGGTCGACTATCGGTCTTCTTGGGCGGCTCCTTGCCTCTCACGGAGGACGCTGCGGACGGGGTCATCGCCACGCGGGGGCTGGTCTTGCCCCTGCCCACTCCCACCCTAGCCGATGCTCGAGTGCCGATGCTGCCCATGCTCGCTTGGGAAGACGTGTCGGAGAAACCGTCCCCTGTCGCGTCCAGCCCCGACCCGAACAACGCTTGCCATCTTTTTATAGGGGGGGACAGAAAAAAAAAAAATGGGGACAGAGAACAGAGCGGGACGGCGGCGAGGCGAATCGATGCGTGAAATGCTTTGCGGGGTTGTCTCTCGGAAACTGTTGAGAAATAAAACTTGATGTTGACTCTTGATTCTTGCGGTACGTGCTTCGGCCAAATTCTTGTGTCCTTTCTTTGCTCTCACGTGCATGGTACGAGTTTCGTCGTGGGGGGGGAGGGGGCATTGGCAACGTCTTTCCTTGAAGTGGAACGGACCACAACAAAAAGTATATCGTCCACGATGAACCAGTATCGTCCTGTCACAACCTAGAGTGTGGTAAAGGATGCATTCACCCTTACGTCCGTCTTGTCCTTGGTCCCAACAAATGACCCTCCTCTAGTCTCAGTCCTCAGCCCTGAGTTCGTGTACGGTCTGAGTCTTGAATTTCGTCACAAGTCTCCAGGTAAAGTGCTAGCTTTGTCTTGTCTTCCCCATTAGTCTTCCCTACGTCTTACCCCGTGCTTCCCTCCTCGCCCGCCGTGGCCTGAATGATCTCCATGACGCTCACCACCCCCAGCACGTTACCGCTGTCCTCATCCACCACCGGCAGGTGCAGGTACTTGTTCTCGTGCATCTGACCGAACAGAAACAAATCAAAGCGAGAGCGATTCACGCACGGAACATTACTTGGTTCTCATGCATTTGACACGTATCAAAATGCATCGAGAGAAAGCGAGAGCGTTCGAAGCATGCAACAAAATTAACAAGCACACCAACCAACGCAACCATCGTTGGGAGCTCATGTCGTGGTGCAACTCCCGCGACACGCCAAACGAAAAGAGATGGCAACATTCGGAGTGCTGATGGACACTAACGTAGTTTTCATCCGTAAGATGCCACAGCCCCTTGTGACTGATCTTCAAAGCCCGAACTCTCTCTGCAGTAAGATCAGTGACGATGCCTAACATGAAGGCTTTGGAATCGTTTCGTCGAGGGACTTTCGAAAACGTTACGATTTGATCTTGGCATCCTCTTCGTCGTGGAGTAATCGAGTTTGGGCAATGAGTACAGGGGGGGGGAGGTTTCTTACGCAACCTATGGCGTAGACGTTTGCCCAGTCAATCCGACTGCTTAACACCGAAGGGCGAAGGGAGCGGCACTGCCTTGCAGGCTACGGCTATTGACGAACACTTTTGTGGAGTGTGCACCAAGAAGAGCTTCGAGATATACTGTTCCTATTATGAAGCATTTTTTGTTGTCGGGAATGGCATAGTGCTGGTCTAGCAATACGATATCGCGTTGTGTGGCAGGCTCTCTAGCTGTGCTTGTCAGCAACGTGCTTGTCTGGCTTCGCATGGCAGGAAGTGAAACCCATCGACGCATTCCGATTCTGCTCAGGGTTGTGACAGTACCGGGGTCCACATGCCCCCCATCAGGTGTGCGACTTTACCCCGCCCTACTCGACTCGGGTTCGCTAGGCTCGCCTGGTGCAAACCTTACCGTAGAGCCTCTTGTTCCGACACCCTAGTTGCAGCACCATCATGCCTGCCGGGAGGCTGCTGATATGGCGATATGTTCTCGTCACCGTTTCCATCTTTCGGCGGGTGAGGGTGTGCCTTTCGATCGAACAAGATGTTCAACTTTTGAAGCGGGGGAGCGCAACGGAGGCAATTCTACATGATGTTCTCCCATCGAATAGAACTGCCTCCCTTACGATCTCCCGGATCGCAACTTAAAAGGTCCTCTTTGGTCGAAAGGCACACCCTCGCACCCCGAAAGACGAAAGGAATAACGAGACCATATCGCCATATCAATAGCCCCCTGGCAGGCATGATGGCGCTACAACCAGGGTGGCGGAACAAGAGGCGCTATTGGCAAGTTGTAAGAAGGGGGGGCCGAGGAAGCCAAGCGGGGCACGGATTTCCCTCCCCGGATGTGGCATGGGAGACGGGGGAGGGGGGGGGGGGGGGGCTGACACAACTCCGGGTAGAACCGGACTGAATCGGAGGGTTTGGTTGCACCTGCCTGTGAAATAACACCAGCACCAGGTTCATAAAATAGCCAGAGAGTCTAAAGAGCCCAATGCAATAGTCTAACCGCTCACCTCTCAAAGAGCCCAATGCAATAGTCTAAACACTGACCTCTTGCAGAGTCAAACAGCCCATTTCAGCATTGTCAACAGCCCAATGCAACAGTCTAAACACTCACCTCTTGCAAGGCCTCTAGGACGGTCATGGTCGACGAAACCGTGTCAGGGTTGGGCGTCATGACATCTTCAACCGAAACCTCATCGGGATTAATCCCCTTCGACAGCACGCGGTTCAGCATGTCTTTTTCCGTAAAGATGCCCGCGAGGCCACCGTTGTCAACCACCAGCACCTGCACCGCGTCAAACCGAACCGTGGAAAAAACAGTGCATGAATCTCCTTTGTGGCCTAGGGCAACGGTGTTCAAAAATGCAGTCCCCCAAGCTTCCGTACATATATTTGATACAACCATCTTCTCGAACCAGCCATGACGAGACCCCTTGCCCCCGTCCCCCCATTTTCGCGTTATGAATCGGCAGAAGAGGTGAACCGCAGAAATATCACCATCATCCTATGCTTGACTTTAGAACTCACAACGATGACGCGCGTCCTCGACGACATCCCCGCACAGCGAAAAGCCGTTAGGGGTAGGGCTAGGGCTGCTCAGCCGACAGCAGCAGCAGCAAGGCAAAAAACTGTGAGAACCACCAACGATCAAAACCGCAACCTTCGTGAGCCCCGCGTCAGAACGTATTGTTGCTGTCATACTCACATTAAAAAAACACGTTCCGCTCTCTGCTTAGTACTCGTACCTTCTAAACTCCGTACTGGTCCGTCCTGGTCCAACTGATGGGGACAACGCCTTCCGTGGTCACAAGCCAACCACCCAAATAGGGGCGTACCTTTCTAGAAAGAACCAACAAGAAGGGTACAAAGTTCTACAGTAGAACGAAAAAAAAAAGAAAAGGCCCCAGAAAAAAAGAAAGTGACAACCTCAAAAAACAACAAATATCGTCTCACCGCCTTGCGGCCCCGCGCGATGGCCTTGCCGGCACCCCTCGCGCTGTCATCGGCGAACACCAGCTGCGGCTCCCCCTTGAGCTTGAGCAACTCCGCTAGGGAGAGGGAGACCCCCGTCCCCCCTTCGGGGTCGTCCGCGAACATCTTCGCCAACAACGCCTGAACATGCACGAGAAAACCAGCGCCCCGGGGGCTATTATAGGTTAGGGTTAGGGTTGGGTTTTCTAGGGCACACGCGTCGCAGAACGACTAGAAACATTGTAAAAGCAGGGAGACGTGGAAACCGCGTTCTCGAGACTTTGTCGAGCACACCAAGAACCAAGGGAACATGGCTTGGCGTCAAGGGACTAGCTCGCCATCGAGGGAACGAACATGTCTACCCCAACCAGGGCGGCAATACTTGGAATAGAGCACATTGCTCTGAACGTTGAGTTGTTGGGGACGAAGCGGGAAGGAGGGGGGCACGCAACGAACACAACCATAAGGGGGGGGAAGGGTTAAAGCCATAGACGAAACGCAGAACAAAGTCGCCCATCTGGCCCACGTGTGCAACGACCACACCGCAGGGATGGCAGTACTGTACCCGGCTCGAGGCACACGTCAAGACTAGCTTCCCAAAAAATGAAACCGCCGTGGGATCAAAAACCAGGGCTGGGTTCCAGCAAGGCCACAACGGCCCAGAGGTTGAAAATGAACGGGGGTGGCGCTCTCTTCCCATCTCCGATACGACACCAAGATGAAGGAAAAAATCCAACAAGATGGCAAAAGGGGATAAAAAAAAAAAACGAGCGCAATCGATCTCTGCACATCCAACGCCGCTCGTGCGACCGCCATCATCATCTTGCCTGCATGGCGGCCTTGCTCTTCTTGCCCTTCCCCTTCCCGAGCTCGGCCAGCATCGACATCTCCGCCTCGTCGGCCTCGCCGCTGTCCACGGACTTCCGCTTCGCGGTGCGCTGCAGGCGAGACACAGCGTCGTACAGGCACTTGGCGATGTCCAGGATGCCGGTAACGTCGCCCCGGGGGGTCCGCACCTGGAATTGAACGTCGGGGGAGGGGGGGGGGTGTACTCATAGTCGTGCATGCCGTAGTCGTTAGACCATTGACCTCGCATCCCTACAAAGCCGGGACGGAGCACGCCGGGTTCTCACCGGACCAGGTTAGCACCACATCACCAAGCGCGAAGCGCCGTGAGGTATTCGGCGAGTCGCATGAAGGGTGAGCTGCATCCTGCTAAGGGTGTTCGGCATCTTGTGCTTACTTCCTTGCGTACGGATGACAGCTGCGTATGACTTAATTTATTTTCTAGTGCTTTCACTTCCAGAGACAGTTGTAAGCACTGTGTAACTGCCTCGAGGATGCTTGACCATTTTAACACAACATGGTGCGATCATCCCCCTTGCGCGGAGTGAGGTTTCTCCACCCCGCACAACATGATCTACTCGACCACCATTATGGTTACCGCCAAAAAAAAAAACAGAGGCAAAAAAAAAAACGGTAACCTGGTTGCCGAGTTCACGAAGTGAAATGGTTGTTTTACAACGTCGTTGCCAAGCGACGAAAACCCAATCCCGATGGCAAACACCGAGGGGGGGGGTTGTTTTACAACGTCGTTGCCAAGCGACGAAAACCCAACCCCGATAGCAAACACCGGGGGGGGCGGTGGGGGGGTTCAAGTTTAAACGGCGTGCCAGATGGCAGCATGAGCGAGGAGGGTAGCAAAGCACACCGCGCTTCGAGGGTATTGAGTAGACGACTGGTTGGACGCAAACTTGAGGGCGTGAGCGTAAAAAAAGAGTGCACGTGACCTCGAAAATGGTGCGGCGTTTCCCAACCAAGATCCTTGCACAAAACGCGCACCATACAAGGGGCAGAGCCGTTCCTACATATGGCCGACCAAATTATCTCTCTCTCTCTTTCTCTCTCTCTCTCTCTCTCTCTCTCTCTCTCTCTCTCTCTCTCTCTCTCTCTCTCTCTCTCTCTCTCTCTCTCTCTCTCTGCCTCGTCTTAAACCGCTCGTGTGTTCTGTCGCTTCGCATGCCTGCCACAACGCAGCAAAAGGAACACTTCCCACTACCCAACGCAAGGCCTCTCCTTCCCTCTCCTCTCCACCGCCCTCTCACCGGAAGGTGTCTGAAGTGTCTCCCCAGCATGATGCTCAGCGCTTCCATGGCACTGTCTTCGGATAGTACCGTCGTAGGGTTGGGAGTCATCACCTCGCTCGCGGCGGTCGAGTTGGGGTCCACGCTAACCGCAACCACCCGCCTGTTCGACGCCAAATAAAATGCAACATTGAAACGGCACGGAGAGACTAATCGGCACAAATGAACAGATACAACCGAAACGGTACAACCGAAACGGCAAAACCGAAGCGGCGGAACAGCACAAAACGAAACGGCACAAGCGAAACCCCATCGATTTGACGAAGAGGCACCGACGAAACGATACGGTCGAGAGGAAGCAGGGCCGTGCGTGCGATACAATGCCCTTAAAAACTGCTGTTGCGGAACCGAATCACTATGAGAGTAAACTCTCAAGACCTTTTCGCACAACCTCAGGCTTGAGAACGAAAGCCCCGCGAAAAACGCAACAGGTTTCGGCAAAAACCAGTCACGCACACTTCTCACACCGCGACACACATGCACTTGTACCATGTTTCTGTACGATCGCTTCGCAACACCCAGCGTCCAACTACACTACACTACACTACAGTACAGAACAGTACACTACAGTACAGTACAGTACAGTACAGTACAGTACCCCAAAAGCCCAAAACAAAAACACCACGTTCACGACATCTAAAAGCACGAGCGCCCAACCAGCCAAGCACAAAAACACCTAGCCTTCCCGAAACATCACAAAAGCATCACCGACAGAGAGAGCACACGTACCGAATGCAGTCGATGGCCGTAATGATGCCGGTCATGCCACCGCCGGCCCCGGTGAGGAGGGCTGCGTCGTTCCTCGCGTTCGCCATGACCTTGCACACCTCCGTCACGGACATGCCTTCCGGTACGGTAACGGCCGGCTGCGGCAAAGGACACACCCAAACACCAGACACAGCACCGACCAGAGCGGGTGACATACAAACCGGGGGGGGGTGGGTCAGCGTTAGGGTTTTGCGGTTGATTCATGGCAAATAATCATGGAAATTTACTGGTGTTCGATTCATAATCACAACGAACGTGACCGAATGAGCCAAGATCGGAACGTTCGTTGCTAAGTTTCAAGTCATGAACAACACGTCGCAAGTGTTCTCTTGCCAAACAAGCGAATCGGCTCCTATTACTATCATAATAGCCGATTCCATACCGAGACACTGACAAACCATCGTTTTCATCTTGAACGCACAGGGGGAAAGGTGGGGCAACAAAAAAAAAAAAATCTCTCTTGTGTGACTTTCCTCTTGTGTGACCCCAGCCGATACGTCAGGTATATATACCGAAAGGCCTGTAAACCACCGCCAGAATAGTTGGGACGAACGCACACACAACCCGGAGGATGGAGCCTATGCGGGATGTAGATAAGCTTCAGGGGGCATGAAAGGGTACATACCTTGGGCCTGAGCTTGGACACGGTGACGTCATCTCCTGTTTTCGTGACCGATGCCGGAGCCTGCCTGGCGGTAGCCACGCGAGCGGCGACGGGGGTGGCCCTCGCGGGCGACAGGATGGCGGGAGCTTGCTTCACCTTCACGGCCTTCACCAGTCACAGTAACAGTAACAGTAACAGTGACAGTGACAGTGACAGCGGATTCATGCAAAGCGAAAACGATGGCAAGGTGAGAGAGGTTGGGGGAGGGTTGTGACGTCCTGGAAGGCGGCAAGGTGGAGCATAAACAACCACCAAACCGGCACAACAGATAAAAGAAGCAACAGAAACGAGTCTCAACACGTGAACAGCTCGAGCATGTTGAACCGCTGTTCACAGCAAACAATAGCAACAGCAAAGAGCAAGTCTCAACAGTAGATTGAATAACTCGAACACTGTCAACCACTGATTACATCCAGCAGCAACAGCAGCAGCAGCAACAACACCAATGCATGATTCAAACTGATTACATCCAGCAGCAACAGCAGCAGCAGCAACACCAATGCATGATTCAAACTCCACGCCACCTTTGGCGAAGTGAAGCTCCTTTCTCCCGAACTCGGGTCGGCCGGTGGGGCGGGTGTGGGAGGAGAAAGACTTCCCGAGCTTCGAGAGTCAATCACAGTCCCCCCTGCCGCCGATGCCCCCAGCCCCGCCCGTTCGGAGTTGAAGTTTAGGTCCCTTGACGACGCAGACAGCCGCGCCCTCGCCTGCAACACGAGAAAGATGAGGGGAAAAAGCGGCGGAATTGGACTGGGAGTGATCGAATCACGAGGTAAGAGGATCTCGTGCTGTTACGACCTCACGCGCTGCGAATCGCCCCGGCTGTGCGGCAACTCCCCAAATTGAAAAGCGAAAGCTACAGCAGTTCCCGCACACTCGGCCAGCCTTGCCTGGGTGTGGGCAAAGTCCTCAGGGTCACGCTGACATAGCAATCTGGTTGGTTGTGTTTTACGCATCAAAACTAACGTCATCGCTGGGCGCCCGTGGCAAACTCATGTGGGAGTGTATTGCCTTGATCGGTCACAGGGCGGATGGAAGGTTGACCACAGGGCCCCCTGTACAGTAGGGGGTCGTACTCATAGTCGTGCATGCCGTAGTCGTTAGACCACTGATCTCGCATCCCTACAAAGCCAGGACGGAGCACGCCGGGCTCTCACCGGACCAGAGCATCACACCCCCAAGCGCGACGCGCCGTGAGGTAATCGGCGAGTCGCCGCTGCATCCTGCAAAGGGTGTTCGGCACCTTGTGATTTCTTCCTTGCTTACGGATGACAGCTGCGCATGACTCCATGTGGCTTGTTCTTGTAGGGAGGTTCACCAAATACGGAAGGTCGCCCTCACCTTGGCCACTGGGTCTTGAGGGCTGGAATTGGAGTGCTGCTCCTTCTCGGATGCTAGAGCCTTCTCCTCCGCGAGCTCGGTAAGCCTTACCCGGAACTTCTCGGCGTCGGCGTAGTTCTTCTCGGACACGGCAGTGTCCATCTTGACACGGACATCGCTGGACGAACAGCCAGCGGCGAGGAGAGGTAGCAACACAGGCGATCGGACAGGATAGCAACACAGGCGTAGCAGCGTGGGATTTCAGCGCTACGCTAGACTCTTGGAGAGGATATTAACACCCGTGTGGTAGGTAGGGTGGGATCAGCGCTAGGCTAGACTACGGCAGCGCGAGCGGGATCAGCAGCAAGGTCTACGGTACGTCTGCACAACAACAAGACGCCACCACCAAAGGGAGACGACGCCAACATTGGCAGGACAAAGCCGGCGCCAGCGCAAGCAAAGGGCCGACAATATCATCAACTGTCTGGCGCCACGAAACAAGTTGGGGGTACGCTGGGGGACTAGTCTAAGTCGTCTACGCGAGTAGACCGAGGAGTTCCGAGTGCTACGACGCATTCTGCCGACTTGCACGGGAGTGGTGCCGTACGAGGATCAGTCTTACCGCATTCTTGAACAGCAATCACTACACCTGTATTTTTCCCCTCAACATGGACAAGCATCTGCGTTGTTGTATTATACGACAATATTATAACAGACTCAACACAAATGAAATCTCCGTAGATACCTGATTTCCTCCTCGATCTCGCGAACGCTAGGAAGCCCGTCGGTTAAGATCTGCATCTCGGTCAGGCTCCTCTGCAGCAAAGAGCACTGAGAGAACCTCTTCTCAGCCTTCGCCAAGCGCATCTGCAATGAAAGCGTCAGCATGAACAGGGCATATTCAGGTTTCGCAAGACGTACTTGCGCAAGAACTGCTGATCCCTTCTCGCGTAAAAAACTGCGCAGGAACAAAATTCGGCCACACTTGACACCCCCACCTTACATTACAAGAGAAATCGGCTAGATAAGGTGTGTGAAAAATGGCACCCTCACATCAAATTACAGCAATACTACAACCTGTGAGTCGACCACATGAATCAGCTTAACATGGCACCATCACATTCAACGGACAACCAACCCTCCAACGGTAGTAGAGCTACAGCTACGGCTACAGCTACAGCTACAGCTACAGCTACAGCTACAGCTACAGCTACAGCTACAGCTACAGCTACAGCTACAGCTACAGCTACAGCTACAGCTACAGCCAGAGTCAGCCCACAGGTCAACGAAAACATTTTGGTACCTCCCCCTCCAGACGCTGGACTTCCTCGGCAAGCTGCTTCCGGTTCATCGCCTTCCGGATCGCGGACGCCACGGCGCTGTGCCGGTCCAGAATCGCCGGAAGCTTGAAGGAAAGTTCCGCGGCCCGGCGGTAATCCTTCCTGGCCTTCGCCGCCGCCATCTCCGCCTCCGCCGATATGACCTCCCTCTCCACCTGCTCCATCGTCGGCAAGGCTTCCGCGGCGGCTTGCATCTCGGACAGCCGTGCCTGGATGTCGCGCACGAGCGACAGGTATGGTCGTATCCAAGAGAGGGGGAGGGGTTACCACCACAACCACCACCAGCAACATCAAAACAACAACAACGAAAACAACGACAGCAGCAACAACAACAACAACAACAACAACAACAACATCAAAACAACAACAACGAAAACAACGACAGCAACAACAACAACAACAACAACAACAACAACAACAACAACAACAACGAAAACAACAACATCAACAACAACAACAACAACAACAACAGCAATAACTAAAACAACAACAACATCAACAAACGTCAGCTCTACTCGAGCTTTGGAAAATCAGTCTCCAAAGGGTGTGGTATCTTGCGTCACGCCAGCACTAGACACCTGCAGGTCGATGCACTTGGCGAAGTCCTTCGCGGCCTTGGCGGCTTCGAGTTCGTCGGTGGTGGTGTGAATCTTGTCCTCGAGCTCCTTCTGCGACAAGTCCTTCAAGGCGCTCCGGGCCTTTTCGGCCTCCACTACCTCTTCGATCACCTTGATCTTCTCCTCCATCGACACCAGCTCCGTCTGACGTCACAACAAGCCGACACAAGACTTCGCGCGTTTGATGATATTTCGTGTGTGCCGTTTTGGGTAGTTGGCTTGTGGCCACGGAAGACGCCCGCATCAATTGGACCGGTAAGGATGATACGAAGGTGCAGAGCAGAGTAGTATCGGAACGGTGTTCTATCGTGAAGACAATATCAACAACAACATCAACAACAACAACAACGATGACGACAACCACAGCAACAACAGACACAGCAGCGACGGCAGACAATTTTTCGACGAAGAACCACAAGGGCTCGGGAGGCAGGGAGACGATCAAGCGTCTCGTCCCGAGCTAAACACGCAAAAAAGGCAGCGGGCGACGCTGGATACAACCATATGGCCATCATCTCGATCGAGAGACGACAACTAGTGGCGATTAGCAGCGCTGCGTCATATTTCCTTCTTTCCTCCGGATTGGCATTCAAACATTCGTACTATCTCGCCTGCAACTGCCCCGCCTTCGCGTAGTCGGTGTTGGCGGCCGCCTCGTCGATCTCGGCTTTGGTCTTCTCCTCCTTCTCTTTCAGCTCCGCCAGCGTGGGATTCTGCTCACGCTGCGCCTGCGGTATCAAGGACAACACACGATTGTGCTTGGCGATAGTATTGGCGGCAGACTTGTGCAAAATACAAAGTACTGCTATCGTATGCTAGATTGATTCGTTGTCAATGGAACCCGCGGGAAGTCAACCCACGAGGGCAACACCATACCAGGTACGTTACAACAGTACTGATGTTCGCAACAATTAGTTTCGGTGCGAATTCCGAAATATTCAAAATACGGCCCAGCACCACCACACCACCATCGACAACAAAAACATCAGCACCAACGGACCTCCGCACCCCCAACAGCACCACCACCAACAACACCACCAACAACACCACCAACAACACCAACGCCACCACCACCACCACCACCAACAACAACAACAACAACAACGCACCTCGAGGTTCTTGATCTCCCTCTGCAGCCGCGTGCACACCGCGTAGTTCTGTTCCGCCTCTGCGTCGGCCATCCTCCACCCGGCCTCCATCAGACGCACCTCCACCTCTTGCCGAGCGGGGCCGCCGTCTGCCCCGATCGCACCGCCCCCGTTACCGCCGGCAGCTAGCTCCTTGCGCCTCTCGTCGCGCTCCTTCATGGAGGTGGCCACGATCCTCAGGTGGTGCAGCCGGGACGCTACGGGTAGGCAGGCCAAGAAATCCTGAAAAACAGGGAGTAGGTCAGGCGCAGGTGAGACGGCGATTTTTTTTTTTACTGCCGTAGAGAGGAACACAATTCTGTCGGGTGGGTGGGGGGGGTGTAGGTCAACATGAAGTTGGTCTTGATTGGACAAATCACAAATCACTCGTTCGGTCCTGGAAAGGATGAGGCTCACGCCTGAGGACACTGCTAGCCCTAACAAACAGGTGGAATGGCTGCGAGAAACAAAGGCCAATAACGACGACAAGACCACCACCAACGACAACAACGACAACGGCAAGACCAGACAAAAAGGACGGAGTAATGTGTTGCACACCTTTTTGTCTCTGAGCGCCTTCTCCTTCTCCACGAGGGTCTCGATAGCCGCTTCGATCTCGCTCACTGAACTGCCGGCGAACTCCTTTCTCACGGCCAGCTGGGTCACGAAGTACCTCACTCTCATCGCGGACTTCAACAAGTACAGTACATCAACAACAACCAGGCAATAAGTGTCACAAATGATGTTCACAATACAGGATACAGCGGTTCACCGCGGGCGGTACGCATACTAGTGCGATCAGCGGTAGAATCTACCGAGAAGAGGGTGGAAAACATACTTGACGTTCAGGGGGAATCTCGTTTAACTTCTCTCTTGTGCGCCCCCTGTTGGGATTGGCTTGGTATCTACTGAAAATCTTACATTCTCGGAAAGAAGACGTTGCGCCGTTCTACCCATCTTCGTGCCATTCTACCCTTTGCCATGCAATACCATCGGTGCCCCGTGTTCACCAAACCAAGCGCAATGCAAGACTACTTCCGCGCGCGTTCAGTACAATAAAAACGGCGGAAAGCTCTCCACGAGATTGGTCCAACGCCGCTACTTTCGGCAACGCCTTCTCCTCTGCTGTGGAGTTCATTCAAAGTCGGCCCAGGGTGTGTAATACCTTACATCGTGTCACCTAGCACTCACCTTGACCACCTTCTCGGCATCCCTCATGGACACGAACCGCTTACGGTCCCTGGACAGACGGTACCACCGCGCCATCGAAGTCGCCGCCCGCCTCTCTTCGAGCAGGTTCCGGAAGTAAGCCGCGGCTCGAAGGTACTTCATCAGCTTCACCGACGACTTCAAGAACGGCTGCGTAGCGATGGGCGAAGCAGGCCATGGGGGAAAAAAGGCGCGTAGAGGTGTTTGTTGTAAAGAAAAAAAGGCTGTCTACAAGTGCGCAGTTACTTGAACCAAACTATCCGCCATACATGCACAAATCGACGTGATTCCGCAGCGGTCGGTGTTCGCCGAGCAGCAGCAGCTACCGCCCGCGATAATATGTCGTTTCATACTTGCTTGTTGTCCCCGTCCCTTTGGCCGTGCGGTGTTTCGACACGACAGTTGCCGTCAGCGACGAGATCGACGTCCGGTGGGACGCCGGCGGGGCGGGGTCGGGGGCGCACTGCTCAGCCACCCACCATTAGCACGACACGACCGACGCCAAATAGGGGGTCGGACCGCGGTCGGCTGCGCCGCTGCGCGGCGGCGGGGCGAGAGCTCCGCCGACATGCCGAGATGCGTGCGGCGTTGGCGGCGATGAACGAGAGCTTCGATGTCGCGAACGGTCAGGTTCGTCAGCCAGTTGCAAGCGGAGAAAGGAGATCGCGAGGCGGCGGCGTCGGTGGACCGATATCGAACTGGGGCGGGCGAACACCGGCGGGAGACCCGCCCCTGGTGTTCGTCACAGACCATGTCCATGGTGCACGTGCAGACGCTCGCGCCAAGATTTCCTAGCGGCGTGGCACAACCTGGCTATTCATGAAAGACTGGATGCTTATCGGCGAGCGGCCCACGGTTGCAAACTTGAAGCTTGTTGAGATTCAGTCGTTGGTGCAGGATGAGGTGCCGCCCTTGGCTGCTCGTGGGCGATCGGTTACCGGTCGTCGGCCTCGGCGATGTACATCCGTACGGAAGCCCGACATGGCGTTGAGTTGGTCCAAGCACCGCTGCAGTCACCCGCACCTCATCCTGTACCAATGACTGCATCTCAACAAGCTTCCAGTTTGCAACCGTAGGCCGCTGAGGTCCTCACACCGGTGGAAAAATGAGAGACTGGGGTAGGGGTAATATCTCGAACGGGTAGTCTTTCAGTGACATGTATACTTCCTAAAATACCCAGGCTGCTAGTCTTGGGGGAGAGAGGGAGAGACAGCAGTACTGATGGGAGGAGACAAGGTAGGATACGAGCCGAGAGCGTCTGCTGGAAACTTCCTCTGTCGGTGTGGTTTCTCTCTCTTCTCTCTCTTCTCTCTCTTCCCCTCGCGTTAAGGGAAACGTTAAGGCAAAATGGCAGTTCGAAAGAAAACAAAAACTAAAGACGGCTACCAAACTGTCTTGTGGAGCCTGAAACCCACAGGGGAGATATCGCTGTGTGCTGCTCGGGAAAACGTGGAAATACAGGTGGCTTTCTCTGACGCTATCAATTCATTGCAAATCTATCTTAAATCTGTTTCAGACTCTTTTCCTAGATAGAGATGGATTCGTTGGGTTATATTCAGAAAATAAAAAAAAACAGTATTTCCGCCATATAACAGGAAGATACACATGGGCGAGGGCGAGGGCGCGGGGGGGGGGGGGGGGGGGGTTTTTT